TTCTCTATAATCCTGGTATAGGGAAATGCTTTGTAACTATGACTCAAAATCAGGATTCAATAAAAGATTGATAAATTTGTGTACATAAAAATTATGTTTTTCATGACCAAAAACATAAACTAAGAAAATTTGGGAGCAAATCTTTGTAGCATGTATCATAAATATAGTGCTGATTTCTCTAAAATACAAAGAAGTTTAAAAATTGACAGAGGAAGAAGATATCCAGTAAAGTGGTAGAGCTCCAAGGTTCCATCTGTTCACAGAAATATTGACAACTCAAGCAAAACTATCAGAATCAACTTTGTCAGAACTCTGGAAAACAGGTTCCAACAACCAAGCAAATACTAAGTCAAGAAAAAGGCAATTTTGAAATGATAGGAAATTGGGACATTTTAAAACCTTTGTGTATGGTGGAAAATTTTGAAAAACATGCACATGCCTAGGATTCATGCTCAGATAAAACCTTAGAAGTCATGAAACTTTCACTTCTGTCTAATCTGTAGACTCAGTGCAAGCAGAACTTGAAGGCTAAGGCAGTTTATACTTGATGCAAATAAGCACCCAAGGAGTGAGTGCTCCAGCACAATGCCAGTCTTCAAAGTCTGGGAGAAGTTTTTTCTTTTTGTTGTTTTTTATTACTTTTTTCCTTCCTCTTCCTTCTCCTTTTTTTTTCCTCCTTTTCTCTCTCTCCTCCTGGTGTTCAAGGAAATCTGTCAAAACATTAGCTAAGTACAAGTCGAACAGAGACTTCGGAGACCACACATGACAAATAACTACAGACTACAAAATGAGTTCCGAAAACTCACTAAACTCATAGCTACAGCAGACAACAAAAAATTCTGGGGAGAGAGAAGAATCTGTTTTCCGTAGTTACCATATTATATTCAAAGTATTCAGCTTTCAGTATAAAACTTAAAAACACGCAGAGAAACAAAATATAGCCCATTGGTAGGAGAAATTAAACTCTTCCTAAGGAAGTATAGACATTAGATTTAATAGACAAATTTAGTTACTTTTAATTTTTTTAGAGTGAGTGTATGCATGTGCAAGCAGAGAGGAGAGGTTATGAGAGAATCTTAAGGAGGCTCCACACCCAGCATGAAGCCTGATGCAAGGCTTTATCTCATGACCCTGAGATCATGACCTGAGCAGAAATCAGGAGTCAGACCCTTAACTGAGCCACCCGGGTGCTCCTATAGACAAAATATTTAAAGAAACTGCAAGTAGAAAAACACTTGTAAAATAATAGCTGAAGATCATTAATATTTCACTTTCAATAATGGATAGAATGTATGGACAGAAAAATCAATAAGGAAACATAAGACTTGACCAATACTATAAACTACCTAGCTCTTGTGGACGTAGATAGAACACTCCACCCAACAACAGCATAACACATTCTTCTCAAATGCACATGAAACATTCTCTAGGAGAGATCATATGCTAGGCTACAAAATAAGTCTCCGTTTTAAAGGTTTGAAACCATCTAAAGGATCTTCTTGAACCACAGTAGAATGAAGCTTGAAATCAGTTATAAATGGAAAACTAGAAATATGTAGAAATTAAGTAAACACACTCCTTTTTTTTTTTTTTTTTTTTTTTTTTTTTTTTTAGTAAACACACTCTTAACCAATGAAGTCAAAGAAGAAATCACAAGGGAAATTTAAAATACTTATAGATGAATTAATGCTCTAGCAGGATACCAGAATTGATGGGTTACAGCAACAGAGGGAAATTTATAGCAGGTAGCACCTACATTAGTAAATAAGTGAGGTTGTGAAGAAGTTAGAACCTTTGTACTTAGGTGATGGGATCGAGTGCCACATTAGGCTCCCTATAGGGAACCTGCTTCTCCCTCTGCCTATATCTCTGCACCTCTCTGTGTGTCTCTCATGAATAAATAATCTTTTTTTTTTTTTTTAAATGGTTAAATAGTAAGTTTTATGTGTATTTTATCATGATTTTTTAAAAAATGACCTCAAGTGAAAAATCTAACTTTACACCTTAAGGAACTAGAATAAGAAGAGCAAACTAAACCCAAAGGTAGCAGAAGGAAGGGAACAATAAAGATGAGAGAAGAGATAAAATAGAGACTAGAACAACAAGAGAAAATTAATAAAACCTAAAGTCAATTCTTTGAAAAATCAACAAACCTTTATCTGACAAAAAGAGAAGACTCACATAACTAAAATCAGAAACGCAAGTGAGTATATTACTATTACCAACCTTACCAAAATAAAAAGGATTTTAAGACAATACTATGATTTTACCATCAAATTAGATAACTAGATGAAATGGGCAGATTTCTAGAAATAAGGGAGAACTGTGCAGCTCTGAAAAAGAAAGTGGAAAAAGTTGAAGGTATGTGAACCCAAAGCCAAAATGAGATATCATTTTACACCCACTAAGGTGGCTATAATTTTAAAAAAAAAAACTGAGAATAACAAAGTATGTGTTTAGGTTTTTAAAAAGTCACTCAAAAGTATACACTATACATTCTGTATTTTGTTTTTTATGAAAAAAGAAGAAATAAGAAAATGCACATTTGCTTATATGTATACATAAGATATTTAAAATGTATAAAGTATACTATATTTAATATTTTTTATTTAAATTAGAGTATAATACACAGTATTTGAATATAAATTTTATGTATTACATATATATAGATACTTCTTATATTTTAAGTTTCTGTGTCTTCAAGTTCACTAGTATTTCCTTCAGTATCTAATCTGCTAGTAATCTCATTCATTTTTTTTTTAAAGATTTTATTTATTTATTCATGAAAGACACAGAGAGAGGCAGAGACATAGGCAGAGGGAGAAGCAGGCTGCATGCAGGAAGCCCGATTTGGGATTCAATCCCGGGACTCTGGGATCATGCTGAGCCAAAGGCAGACACTCAAGCGCTGAGCCACCCATGTGTCCCTAGTAATCTCATTCAATGATATTTTCATCTGTTGTGTTTTCCATCTCTAAAATTAATCTAGAGTTCTTTTATATCTTGTTTCTTTCATCTTAGGTCTATGTTTTTCTTTGTACCTGTGATCATATGAAGCATATTAGCTGATTTTTTTAAAGATTTTATTTATTTATCATGAGAGACACAGGCAGAGATGTAGAGGCAGAAGCAGGCTCCCCATGGGGAGCCTGATGTGAACTTGATCCCAGGACCCCAGGATCATGGCACTGAACCACCCAGGTATCCCTGTAATAGCTGTTTTAAATCTGTAATTGGGTTTGATTATTCTGAGACTTGTGTTTAAGCTCTTTGGTGTCAGATCTATTCTAAGACTAATTTAATGCCTTACCTAAAGCATGACTCCTCTGAGATTTCTAATAATGTCCTCTGAGTTCACCTAGATCTCTCCACTCTGGTGGGAACTCAAACTGTTTTGGGTCCTACATAAGCTCCGGGAATTATTCTGCTAGTAGCTCCCAATAGTTATTCTTTTCCTTGAAGTTCTTGCCTAGTATCCCAGGGTTTTACCCTAAGCTTACACAGGTTCGTATTCAACCGAATGCTCAACAGACTGCATATTTCTGGAGCTCTTCCTTTGCATAGCTCCCTCCTCTCAGGTACTCTGTCCCAGAAATTTTAGCGACCTCAGTCTATCAAACTCCAGTTTCTTTCAACTCAGCATGATTTCTGGGCTCTGTTTGACTACCCCTCCCTGGACTGCAGTTTACAAATTGCCTGTAGCCAGAAACCCTCTGTAATGGTAGGACTCACACTGTTTGTTTCCCTTCTCTTAAGGATCACAGATTTGCACTGCCTATTCAATATTTTATCCATTTTTTCGTTGTTTATGGCAGTAGGATAACTCCAGACCCTGATACTTTCTCATAGTCTGATGTGTAAGTTCTCCAAGGTATTCAAAATTGACATCACCAGTGATTAGCACAAGAATATCATGTACCTCTGAATGTGATACCCTTGGAAGGACACAGTATCACTAGGTGTCACTCTGCTTTTCCAGCCTGGACTGAATCTCATCATGAAGAAATAGCAAACCCAACATGAGGAACAGTCCATTAAAAAATAGTTGTGGGGGTAAGGGAGGTTGTATTCTTCAGAAATGGCAGTGTCACAAAAGAGAAAGCTGAAGAAGTATTCCAGATTAAAAAAAAAAAAACAGCAACTAAATGCATTATGCTATTCTGGACTGAATCTTGTGCTTAAGCACGAGTGTGTATGCTATGAAGAACATTATTGAGTCAATTGACAAAATTGGATTAAAGTATGTTAGATAAAGAGTATGTCAGCATTAAATTTTATAATGCTGGTAACTCTGATTATATAAGAGAATCTTCTTGTTCTTGTGCAATACATACTGAAGTATTTAGGGCTAAAGGGTTATTTATACAACTTACTCTCGCATGGTTCAGGAGAAATATAGAGATGCACCAAATGGTAAAGCATATAGTACAAAAGATTAACAATTGGTGAATAGGGATAAGGAGTATTCTTGTGCAACTGTTCTTGAAAGTTTGGGAATGTTTTCTAATAAAAAAATTTTTTTAAATATGTGCTTTAGGAAAGTGTTTGGCAATACCCATTAAGTCTAAACACATATATCCTATGACCCAGCAGTTCCACTCTGGGCATACACTAAACAGAAATAAGTAAGTTATATCTCAATGGAAAAATTAAAATTATAAATAAGAACAAATGGCTCTTTGGATAAGTCCCCAGTTCTTTTTAGCATTCCTTTGAAAATGTATAATTTTCCTTGTTATAATGCAGTGGTATTCAAAGTATAGTCCCCAGACCAACAGAATCAACATCAGCTGAAATCGTGTTAGAAATGCAGTTTTGCACCCTCTCTAGACCTACGGTTTCTAAGTCAGAAACTGTAGTTGGGGCCCAGGGACCCAGCAATACATATTTTAATAAGTCCTCCATGTGATTCTGATGTGTGTTATACTGGTGATTCCCTACTTTAATGAACATATGTCAGGAACTTCAGTCTTCAAAAGTACTGTTTTTTTCATTTTCAGCTTCTCCAATTTGGGAAATACCTGCTATATGAATGCTATTTTACAATCTCTGTTTTCACTCCAATCATTTGCAAATGACTTGCTTAAGCAAGGTATCCCATGGAAGAAAATTCCCCTCAATGCTCTTATCAGGTAATTGTTAAATTCTTACTAAGAAACCTTTTACCTTATGTGCTATTGTTAACAGTCTTTAAAATATCATGCTAACCAAACTTATGTAAAACATCACTAAACTTTCTTGTTTTAACAGACGCTTTGCACACTTGCTTGTTAAGAAAGATATTTGTAATTCAGAGACCAAAAAAGATTTACTCAAGAAGGTTAAAAATGCCATTTCAGCTACAGCAGAAAGATTCTCTGGTTATATGCAGAATGTGAGTACTAATTGTTTTTAAACACTTTAGAGATAAGGGAAATTGAAATGATTTTAGTGTATTATCTAATTTCTACTTTAAAATGAGATTTATGTACATGTGTTCATCACAAGTTGAAAAACCTAAGGACTTATACTAAGATTTAATATGACTCTTCTGTGTGTTTTATCATATTTTAATAATATAGATACCGTTTGCCATTATAGGAACTTGGGCTATTTTAGCTTTTACAAAGGCTATTTTAGAAAAAATACTTTATCTTAAAGGACTGATTGATTTATCCATTCATGCCAATCCAACTGGTAGTTAAAAATATAAAATCCGTCATTTTTTTTTAATTTTTATTTAAATTCAATTTAGCTAACTTACAGTGTTGTATGTATTAATAACACTGTTACATGTGTAATACAACATACAACACTGTACAATAATACAGTGTATATTAGCTTCAGAGGTAGAATTTAGTGATTCATCAGTTGCAGTGTCATTTGTTCTTATTCACAAATATGTTCCCCCAAATGGCTAGAGTAAATCTGACCTTTTTCACATACGGTGCTGACCTCCAAGTGCTATAGTTGTATAAATCACAGTGTTTGGAAGCTATTCTTGTGACAGAAGGATTTTGATCTTATGATTAAAGATATTGTGCCTTCTTAGGATGCTCATGAATTTTTAAGTCAGTGCTTAGACCAGCTGAAAGAGGACATGGAGAAGTTAAATAAAACTTGGAAGACTGAACCTGTTCCTGGAGACGAAAATTCACCAGATATTTCAGCCACCAGGGTGTACACTTGCCCTGTTATTACTAACTTGGAGTTTGAAGTTCAGCACTCCATCATCTGTAAAGCGTAAGTAGACTCTAAGAGAGCTCTTTGCCCTTTTAATTCTTTATAGTATGTGATTAAAATTTTTCTAGAAGGTTTTAGTTCTTATCTTCCTTTTTGTGTTGTAAGGACACAATAAATGCGTAGGTTCTACCAAACGTCTCCTTTCAGTGTCTTCATCTTCTATAAAAATGTTTTATAGGGTGAGAACTAAGGAAAACTTGACTGTTTTCTCATGTACTTTAGTGCTGACTAAACACTAAATTTTGATCTACAAGTTTGTTTTTATGGGTTTTTTTTTTTTCTTTTAATCTCTGTGTGGAATAATGAGGACTTTGGAAATACTTTTTCCCTGAAAAGACTCTGCTCCTATTGCTTATTTTATTAAATCAAATTGTTTTTATTAAAAATGGTTTTTTTTTACAAGATCAAAATTTGTTTTTAACTTTTGCAATCCTTTTTAATTTATTAATGTTTATATTGATTATTCGGACTTTCTATATTTAGTTAATTTCCATGCTCATTACCAAGACTTTTATACCATGCATTTCTTCTTTTTTTTTTTTAAGATTTTTTTTATTTATTCATGAGAGACACAGAGGCAGAGATAAAGGCAGAGAGAGAAGCAGGCTCCCTGCGGGGAACCTGATATGGGACCCGATCCCAGGACCAGGATCATACCCTGAGCCAAAGGCATAGATGCTCAACCGCTCAGCTACCCGGGCATCCCTATACCATGCATTTCACATCAAAAGGATCTGTTTTGATTAATTTTTCAGTTATTGTGCTACATATCTGAAAATGTTTTTCTTAGAATGGAATTCTTCTGTTTAAGAATTATTTTTGTGGCTTTCACATGAGTTAATACAGAATTATTGAATCACATATAGCCTTTCCCCCTTAATATCTTACATACACTGTCTCATCATGTGCTATATTACTTTGTGACATTTGAGAGACCTGATTTTGTGAGTAATCTTTTTCTTCCTGAAAATCTGTGGTATTCTTTATTTTTGAAATTCACATTTTCACAAGTTTACATTTAAGTATTTTGTTTAATTTTGCCTTTAACACGATGGAGCTTTCTCATCTGAAAAATTTGGGATTTTCTTCTGCGCAAGAAAACTATTCTCTGAATATTGCTTCTCTTTCATTTATTTTTGAGAAATTTATTTAGAAATACTCAAAACCCATATATTGGCTATCCGTTGTGTCTTCCATATTCTATTTTTCTTAGACTGTTCATGAGGTCTCTTCCAGTTACAACATTCTAATAATTGTGACTAGGATTTTGAACATTCACGTGGATGCTATAAAAATAGTTTTTTTTATCACTAGTGTGTGACATTTCTTGTCTTCATAATTTCGTCAGTCTTTTTATTAAAATTATTTTTACAAGAAAAAGTCTGGGTCTTATAAATATAGTCCATCTCCTTGTAAAAGCTAGAAAAACCTACCAGTAGTTAATAATATGGTAGTCAATTATATTTCCTTTTCTTCTTATGAACTTTCCAAACAAATTTGTTCAAGTTAGAGAAGCAAAGTTATTTAATTGTGATTGTATCATTTAATTGTGGGGGTGCCAACCAAATTTCTTTTGATAGGAAAATTTCAATGGCCTCTGACAGGAATAGCTATAGGCAGCACAAGAAGACAGAAGGCAACATCAAAGTAGTGGCTGCTGTACTGTTTCAACAGCATCAGTCAGGCACTCCACTTGTGTGGCACCCAGATGTTGGGTGTACATTTGAGGAGTACATGCACCATGCATGAAGTAACAAGTCTAGTGAAATGTACACACACCAGGTGGCCAGGCTGAGCAGTGGCCCAAGAGTGTGGCAAATATGGGAGGCAGCAAGGTTCTATGAGGCCGCAGCAGCAGTGGTACAACTACCTCCTTAAAGGCCTTGCTTTAGTTGCTGTATTAGCAAGTTTCTTTAAGACATTTTGTTAAACACAAAATAGTTTTTGACTGAAGGAAGATTGCATACGCCTCAAATTATAATTTTCATTGTTTAGCCTCTGTCCCATCTCACTGTAGGGTTAGTTTGGCCAGTTTGTCAAATGTACTTATTTTTTATTTATTTTTTTTTAAAGATTTTATTTATTTATTCATGAGAGGCACAGAAAGAGAGGCAGAGACACAGGCAGAGGGAGAGGAAGGAGGCTTCATGCAAAGAGCCTGTTTGACTCAATCCCAGGACTCGGGGATCAGGCCCTAAGCCAAAGGCAGACACTCAACCGCTGAGCATCCAGGTGTCCCTGTACTTATTTTTTAAAACTGTTGTGGGTTGTTGTTTTTTTTAAGATTTTATTTAAGAGGAGGAGACAGAGAGTGAGTGCAAGAGCGCAAGAGCAGGGGGAGAGGGAAGCAGACTCCTGCTGAGCAGGGGGCTGATGTGGGGCTCAATCCCAGGACCCTGGGATCATGACCAGAGCCAAAGGCAGACACTTAACCTACTGAGCCACCCAGGTGCCCTGAACTGTTCTAGTTTAAATGGACTTATTTTCAGTTAAATTATAAGGTGTTTCAGTATAATAATGTATTATTGAATATGAGGAATTCTCCATTCAAAGAACTTAAATTTTTAAAAAAACTTAAATTATCTAAAATTAAGTACTTAATATTTTCCATAAAACCTTCTGTAGTCTTTCCTATCTCAGTAATAACAGTTTCATACTTAGAATTTATCAGCCCCAAAATGTGGTGTATATTTCTTAATTCTTCTCTTTCTCTCATATCCCTACATCTTATAAGTCAGGAAATCCTTTCAACTTTTCCTTCAGAGTAAGTACATCCAGAATCTGCTCTCTTGCCCACTATTCTGATCAAATCCACTATCATCTCTTGCCTGAAGCATTGGAATACCTTCTAAACTGGTCTCTGTGTTTCTATACTGTCTCTCTCTAGTCTTTTTAAAACACATTAGCCAGAGTGATCCATTTGAAGTGGAAGTAGTTTGTGTTAGCCTTCTCTTCATAACCTGTAAAATAAAAGCTGAAATTCTTACAGTAATGTGCAAAATCCCCTCTGGTCTGTTTTTCAGCAGTCCCTCTTCCCCCAATTAACTCTGACTTCTGCTATCACTCTTTCCTCTTTCTCATTCTGTTCCTACCAAATTAGCTTCCTTGCTTTTTTTTTTTTTTTTTTTTCCAAAATGCTAGATCCTGGTACCTAAGGGCTTTTTTCACTTAGTGTTTCCTTTATCTCAAATTCTCTTTCCCCATATTCCCCTCTATATCTTTATGTAAAAGCCACTTGCTCAGTAAAAGCCTTTTCTAGGCATTTACCCTATTTAAATTCCAACCATCTACTCTGATCTTTACTTTTTTTTCTTCCCTTTCTCGCTTACCACTTTAACACACCATACATACTTCTTTTTTTTTGTCTTTTTCTTCAGTATAGCTTTGTGCAGGGAGGTATTTTATCTTGGATTTGTTCATTGCTGTAACCTCAGTGCTACTAGAAGAGTTTCTGGCATTTAGGAGGTGTATTTAGTGATGCCTAAGAAATTGCCCAAATTTAACAGCTTAAAACAATATTTATTAACTCACAGTTCCATGGGCCAGAAGTCTAGGCAGGGTGTGGCCAGGTTCTCTGCTCATGGTATCAGAAGACTGAAGTCAAGGTGTTGCTTGTTCTCATCTGGATCCCCCTCTAAGCTCATTAAGGTTGTGGGCAGAATTTAGTTCCTTATGATTGTAGTACTGAAGTCCTCATTTTCTTGCAGGCTATTGGCTGCAACCACTCATTTCCTAAAGGCTGCCTGTAGTTTCATGCTATGTGGCTTTCATAAGCAGTTCACAGCAGTGCTCTTTGCTTTCTTTTAGGTCAGCAGTACATGTGTGACTTTGAATCCTTGATTTCCTATGTTTGAGACCTCTGGACCCAGATTTAAAAAGCTCAAGTGATTAAGTCTGACCCACTCAGATAATCTCCTTTTTTTTAATCAACTCAGCATTAAGATTAGTAACATTAATCATATCTGCAAAATCTTTGTCATGTAAAGTAACATCATGAGAGTGAAAGCTCATTTTGGTTACAAGTTCTCTTAAAGGGGATGGAATTATACAAAGGGCAAGGGTCATCTTAGAATTCTGCCTATTAGATAGAGACACTCAGATATTTGTTGAATAAAGAATATACTTTTATGGTCCCCCGTCTTCAACTGTGGCAGTAGAGAACTGGGGCAAGAGATTGAATATTACTATAAATGCTGATATGCAGACAGAAGGAAGAACATCAACTAAAGCTATTTAAAATTAAAAGAAATGAATTTGCTTCCAGATAAATACGGTGTTTCGTATGGGCTCTGAGCCCATTTTTAAAAATTCTATAGAAATATATCCAGTGGGATCCCTGGGTGGCGCAGCGGTTTAGCGCCTGCCTTTGGCCCAGGGCGTGATCCTGGAGACCCGGCATCGAATCCCACGTCGGGCTCCCAGTGCATGGAGCCTGCTTCTCCCTCTGCCTATGTCTCTGCCTCTCTCTCTCTCTCTCTCTCTCTCTGTGTGTGTGTGTGACTATCATAAATAAAATTTAAAAAAAATTTAAAAAAAGAAATATATCCAGTGATCAAACACCTCTGCTAATTTCACCAAAACACCTAGAATTTTTTTAAAGATTATTTTAGAAAGAGAGTGCACATGTGGGGAGGGGTAGAAGGAGAGGAATAGAGAGACTCTCACATCTCTTGATGTGGGGCTCAATCTCACGATCCTGAGATCGTGACCTGAGCTGAAACTAAGAGTTGGATGATTAACCAACTGAGACACCCAGGTGCCCCAAGAACACATAGGATTTTTAAAATTCTTATTTTCAACACAAAAAGGTGTTTTCATTATTAAAACACAGGGACAGGGGGCGCCTGGGTGGCTCAGTGGTTGAGCATCTGCCTTTGGCCCAGGGTGTGATCCTGGAGTCCCGGGATTGAGTCCCACGTCAGGCTCCCTGCATGGAACCTGCTTCTCCCTCTGCCTGTGTCTCTGCCTCTCTCTCTCTCTCTCTCTCTCTCTCTCTCTCTCTCTCATGAATAAATAAATAAAATCTTTTTTAAAAAAATAAGCATGGGAAAAGTCTTAAAAGCTGTATATTGCTTATGCCTGGTCTTAGTCTGTCAGTACCTGCTAAGTTCTGTGCGAAAACAGTGTTTCTGAAGTATATTTGTATTTTATCTTGTATTGCACAGTTAAACTTCAAAATCCTTCCATTTGTCTTCTTTTATTCTTACAGATGTGGAGAGATTATTCCCAAAAGAGAACAGTTTAATGACCTCTCGATTGACCTTCCTCGAAGGAAAAAACCACTCCCTCCTCGTTCAATTCAAGATTCTCTTGATCTTTTCTTTAGAGTAAGTAATATTTTTTGGTATTTTCGAAAACCTAAATTCCATATATCATAGATAATTTTATTTAAAATTGGTTTCCTTAAGGCAGAGTGTCAACAAAATTGCTTGATGGGAAAATAAATGAGAAATATTTATAAATAACATTTAATTTTAAAAGCTTAATAAATGGAACTGTTAACTCATTGAAAAAGATTATTAATTGCTTAAGTAGATGATACATTAAACTAAATAGCAGGTATCTTAGACAACCTTAGGAGCAGTTATTTGTAAACAAATACTAACTTGAAGCATGTGCTGAAATTTGGTGGTGTTGGTAAAAATTGGAGATTCTATCCAATTATGCCCCCAAAACTTGGTGGATATTTGTAACAGTATATCACAGAAACATTTATCTACAGCTTTGGGTACACATGACTCTTCCCTTTTGTTTCTAACAGGTTACATACATAATTTCATAATTGGACCTATTGTGTAGCAGTCCTTACAACTGATGGAAATTTGGCAGGATCACCCTTTGTCTCTTTAATAGTGGTTCTTGTTTTATTGTAGCAAATGGGTAGGGTTGTCTTCCTAAGGTTAAAAAAAAAAAAAAGTTCTTTAAATGATGAACATCCAGCTCCACCCAAAGATAAATACTCTGCTTTTTTGTTTTGTTTTATTTTATCATTCCTTACTATTCCTGTTATTATAGAATTTGAAGCTTTTCCTGTGTATCTTTACTCCCCTTTTTTAAGGATTTCTTGTTTCAGTTTTCTCTAGGTAATGATATCCACCCCAAACTTTGGTCCTTTTAGAGCAGTTGTTCTTAGTGGGCTGTCACCAGAAGATTGAGTTCCATTATAAGAAAGGGGTAGAGTTACACCTAACAGACCAGGAACTCCGCCTAACCTGAAGGTGATCTTATCTCTGCTATGGCCAAATGTTAAAATCTGGATATACTCTTGGCAGTGGTTCTTGTGCATCCATGGGGAAAAGGTTGAGAACCTGCTACTGCAGAGTCTAGTTGCTGTCATAAATTGAGATGTTTCCATGGTAAAAAAGGAAGTTAAGAAGTCTGAAATAGGGCGTGATATCATAAGGTAACTGTTTTGAGGATTAGGTCTCAATTTAGTAAGGCTTGTGGCTCTAGACACAAAATTTAAACCGGATTGAAGTTGTCATTGTACTGAACTAGTGTGACTAGAGAAGAATATTTAGTATTTAATGGGGTAATGCTGATTCAGCTTCATGCTTCTTTATTTTTCCTTCTTGTCTTTTTACAGGCAGAAGAACTTGAGTATTCCTGTGAGAAGTGCGGTGGGAAGTGTGCTCTTGTCAGGCACAAATTTAACAGGCTACCTAGGTAAAATTAATTTCTCTTCAGTTTTTCTTCTTTAAAGTACTGACATATTACTGGGTAAGTGAGGCTCATTAGAATGGATTGGTAAAGCAAAGCTGAGATATGAGGGGGTTAGGTTAGGATGCTCTTGCATAAGAAAGAGAGAAGACTTGGAATGCTGGAGAAGAGTAGTCACTTGAGCCTCCTTGGAAGATGGCAAGAAGAGGATGCAGCTGGTGAGATTTTGGAACAATGGTAGGGACTAGGTAGTAGATTTTTAATTTGGTGATTATGACATTCACTTATAATTTGCAATTTGGTTATGTGCTAGTCTCCTTCTCTTATCCCAAACCTTCAGTAAAAATCTGCCACAAACACATATATGTGTGTGTATGAAAAAACAAGAAGAGTAGTTTTCTGCAGGTTTGTTGTTGTTGTTTTGCATTCCTTTATTCAAAGGATCCTGTAAGTTAGTGAGTTTCTTGTAATTAAAACAATTCTGAACGAGGACTGAAATTAACTTATATTAGTTCTGTGTAATGAGACAAAGTATGATGTGATTATAATGCAGCTTTTAGTTCTTTCCAAGAATAGATCTCAGCCACAAACAAGGTTGTTGTTATTAAGTATTTATGTGGCACTTTGCAGAGTGCTTTACTTTCTTTTATTAGCTTCACTTTTCTGTAAGTAGAGTTTCTGGAACCTAGCCCCTAGAGACTAGTTTTTTTAACATTCCATAATCTCCTTTCTAGAAAATGAATTTCTTTAAAAAAAAATGACTTTCTAAATCATAGCAGTATTACTATGTTGACCATTTTTTTACTCAAGAAATGTTCTTTCCTATTTCTGTTTTGAGACAGGAGATGGGGGAGACAAACCTTAAGGCAAAGGATTGATTGTGACCAGTTATCATTAACTAAGGAAAGCAGTGTACAATTTGAAATACTTGTTTGACCTGGCAAGCTGAATGTCTATTCCTTTTTCCAGTGTCTAGTTTATTTGTTCTTTTAGTAGAAAAAAAAAATAGGGGAATTTTTTTCCTTGGTTTTCCCTTTTTTCTGGAAGATCGCTTTTGTTATATATTTATTTATTCCAAACTTTAGAAGCCTTTGTATCATTTCAATGTTAAAGCCAGTTTACCTTTATCCTTGAAGGGCCTGGTATCTTTATCAAATATGTTCAATTTTAGTTTACTTCATCTTTGTAGATAAGTGATTTTGATTGTCATCTATCTGTTTCATATTACTGTTTATTTTGGTAGGATTATTTGAAAATTTAGTCAAAATATTTGCCATTAGTTATAATCTCTTCATACCATTTGGATCCTTGTGTTCTTTCAGGTTGTAAATTTGAAGATTATGAGTTATAGCATACTTTTTAAAGAAAAAATAGTAACTTTAATTTACAGTTTTTAATAGTTTGTGGCTTCTGTGATAAATATACATACGGTAAGAAAGGAAATAGTTTTCCATAAAACGACATTATTTTGCCTAGAATTGAGATTTACTCCCATAAGAGTTCTGAAATTCAAATTTTAAAATGGTCTTGTGGGCTGTGAAATATATTTAGTCCATCAAGCAGAGATTATGGTCTGTATCAGAGGTGAAAAGGTTGGCACAATAGTAACTAAAAAGAAGTGTTTCTATGGAGCTAAAAGCCTTTTTAGACCCACAAGCCATATTTGCCACATAAATTTTATAGAACTTTTTGTAAGCGGAGAAAACTTTTCTATTTCTTTCTTAGCTTTCTCCAGAGAAAGTGCTACACATCGAAATAGGAGGTCTTGTCAGGGATGCCTAGGTGGTTCAGTCAGTTAAGTGTCTGACTCTTGATCTCAGCTCAGGTCTTGATTACAGGATAATGAGTTCAAGCCCTCCAGGTTGGGCTCCATGCTGGGCATAGAGCCTACTTAAAAAAAAAAAAAAAAAAAAAACTTGTTAAAAATCATCTTGAAAAAATTAATGTTCACCATCAAACATAAGGACTATTTAATATTTTAATTAAATTACCATTAATAGTTACATAATACCTATTTTTTGGTAAATTATATAACAATGAAATAAATAATTTAAAGATTTAACCCAGGGGATCCCTGGGTGGCGCAGTGGTTTGGCGCCTGCCTTTGGCCCGGGGCGGATCCTGGAGACCCGGGATCGAGTCCCACGTCGGGCTCCCGGTGCATGGAGCCTGCTTCTCCCTCTGCCTGTGTCTCTGCCTCTCTCTCTCTCTCTCTCACTGTGTGCCTATCATAAATAAATAAAATTAAAAAAAAAATAAAGATTTAACCCAATACCAACATTTTATTTTTTTAGATTTTTTAAATAAAGATTTGTTTATTTGTTTATTTATTTTAGAGAGAGAATGACAAAGGGGAGCACAGAGGGAGAGGAAGAGAAAAACTAAGCAGACTCTGTGCTGAGTACAGAGTCCAGTGCAGGGCTCAGTCTCATGACCCAGAGATTATGACGTGAGCCAAAACCAAGAGTCAGACAGTCAACGGACTGTATTACCCAGGTGCCCCCCAGGACCAACATTTTAAAAGAAAATGTGTTGTATTTGGTATTTTGTTCTTTGTATGTTTTTTTCTGGTAACATTATAAATATTTTACCCAATATCCACCTAATGCCCATGTTTTATTTTTATTTATATTCTTAGTACCTAGCACATGGCAAATATTCAATAACTGTTCTTGAAGGATCTTTCATTTAGCCAATTGTATTCTTTAAGTCAAAAGCTATCTAACATGGTTAGTTACAGTGAATTCTTTTCATCTGTAAGAGAGCTAGCTCTGTTATGTATGAACTAGTAATGTCATCTCCTGTTTTTCAGGATACTCATTCTTCATTTGAAACGGTATAGCTTCAATGTCACTCTCTCACTTAACAACAAGATTGGGCAGCAGGTCATCATTCCAAGATATCTGACCCTATCCTCTCATTGCACTGAAAATACAAAACCACCCTTCACCCTTGGTTGGAGTGCACATATGGCAATGTAAGTCCTTGAGAGAGAATTTCTTTACCTTCCCTTTTGAAGTAGAAAGGCTTTAGTATCTGTTTGAAACGATAATTGAACTAGATAATATGACTCTCGGGTAAAATCAACCCAAGCAGGAGATTTTATTTTGATTTATTTTGGGATTTTGTGCCAAATTACTGCCTGATGGAAATAATTAAATAAAATACTTAAAACAAAATTTTTCCGTTGTACGTTAATTGCTTTTCATAATAAGCTACCTTTTTAGAGAGTGCTCTTAGTCGTATAGATAACTAGAAGACAAGTTTATACATTTTGGGACTATAAATCTGATTTGGATATTCCTAAGAATCACCTGAACACTAAAAAAATACCAATTCCTGTGTTCTTTCCCTAGCAGTTCTGTTTCAGTAGATATGAGATAGGGCTTAAGAATAAGCATTTTTTAAAATACCTTTGCTAACTCTTTGGGTTATACAAATTTGAGAAACAGTTTATTAAATTTTATCTAGTGCCCCCAAAATTGCTTGTCTCTTCCTAAATGTATTATCAGTAATGTGAATGAAGAACTTCTGAGGCTCCAAGAAATTTTTCTGTGAGAAAAGAAGTAACCTTTACATTTGATTTTGCTTCATCATGTATGCTGGGAAAACCTTAGGACTTCTCTGAATGTTGCTCTTTCTTGCATTATTCTTGTTGCATTATTTTGGAGCCATGTATTACAGTTTTTATACTTGAAATCTAATTTGGTAAAACCATAAAGTTCTCCAACTTTAGAAGTGGAAAGGATCTTAGAGATTTTGCCTAAATTTTTAATTTTACAGAGAAGATCCAAGATTAAGTGATTTTTCTTAAGGTCATGAAGTTAGTAACTGAAAGAGCCTGGTCTTTTGGCTAAAGTAGAATCATACACCTTTCAGAAAGTGAATGAACATTTGCTAACACAAATTGGTACAGTTTTATAAAATGTATTTCCCTTGGACTAATGAAATAAATACTACGTTATATAAGTTTGCACTAAAGACATTGGTGGGTCTACTTATTAATAAAGACATTTTCCCCAGAGTCTTAGTGTTTCTGGGTTTTCTCTCAAGGCCTTTCTTCAGAATAGATGATTTGCTTAATGCAAACTGCCCTCTGCTGGTGGAACTGTTAATCTTTGTGGCCATCAGCATAGGCGATTCATGATCACAGGCCTGAGACCAGGCTATATGACTCCACATTGGAATGGCTTGAAGACTTTGGACAAGTTCTTTGACCTGTCTGTAGGGGAAATAATAGGATGGTGTGAACATTAAATGAGGTAATACACATGAGCTCTTACTCTAGTGTCTGATAGCTAGTAAGTCCTCAATAAATGAGAGCTATTATTACTCTATTGCTTAAAAGTAAAGCACCGAGACGAGATCATTTTTCCCAAGTTGTTCTTTTCATATGCATTACCTTTGACTTCATTTCCAATGCTGTTTATTTAGATCATTGGATCAGGAAAAGCCTACAGATGGTATTTTGTTTTCTCTTTTGGCCTCTACTGCTAGTATTAGTATTATACTTATTTGCTTTTCAAAAGTATATATAAGGAACTATAGTAGGGAATAATTCATTTTATAGTTAAATATATATTTTTAATAATGTAATTATATACATTATATATTTTCTAATTTTCTGATAGTTCTAGACCATTGAAAGCTTCTCAAATGGTGAATTCCTGCATCACCAGCCCTTCTACACCTTCAAAGTGAGTTATATTTCTTGTGTACCCAAAATTTGTATTTTTAAGGATTTGGCTTACCCTGATTTCCAAGATTATGCCCTTCCCTTTTCTTTGTTTTTCTTTGCATGATAACTGCTCTGTATTACTATACTTTGTAATTTTCCTTAATCTGCTTTAAACTATAACCTAGGGTATAACAAATCTTTAACAGTGAAGCACATTCAGGTGATCCTCTCAAAATTCTGTTTTTAAACTTAAGTCATCTGTTAATATGTAATACTTTAATCCTACAAGTGTAGAAATTGATGACAAGGGATTTTAAGGATTGAAGGGATAAAATAGCCACTGTTGGTATAAAGCACTGTTCCTCAAAGGTACACTTGGGGATCCCAAAATATCTTTTTCACCTGTTGCTAACCAGTCTGGGACTTCCTGTCTTAGACACTGAACTGGAGCAATTCAGAAAGGGAACAAGAAAACAAACACACAATGAACTTTAGCTATTCTACAAATGTTTTATATTTTTTACTTAAGATGGAAGTTTGTCCAAGAAAAGGAAGCAAATACTTTTTTTTAAAATATATCTCCTCTATGATTTAACTAGAACCACAGTTCCTGATTAAATAATTCTAAATGACTTGGCTGTCATTTATCTTTCAAATTAGTTTTTCTGAAACTTTGATGTCCCAAAGTACTTTTAGAAAAGAGACACTTCTGTTGTTTAAGGGCTTTGGGGGGCTTATATAACCATAAAATGACATTTGGGAACTGCTATTTTCTTTTCCTCCTGTTAATTATTTTTCAGTGCAATTAAAACCAGATGACTAACATGACTAGAAATCTGAAATGGTACCGATATGAATACTCTTGCCCGTTCTCAAGATACAAATGAGCAATACCACTTGGCTGCTTAGAAAGTGAGCAAGTGATGCATTTACAGGATGAATATTTTTCCTTACTACAGGCAAGCTGCCTTCTGTGAATATAGTAATTATTAATGGAATGCACTCTTTATGTACCAAATCACTATAGTTTCAAGAAGGAGATGGTTTCATTGGGCATCATTATATTTGGCATGGTCATCTGTTCTCCAGGGTCTACTATACTAGTATGAGAATTTGAGAGTTGGTCAATAAAGGATAATTAGGCCCTAGAAGACCTGTCATGCCGATCAAACTTAAAAGAGGCTGAGTTATGAACAAGAATACCATTGGTTCTTTTATAATGTCCTTTGTCACATTTGACCCTGGTACATTAGTAGCCAGGTGTCACCCTCCTTCAGCAAAGTATTTACATGGATAAACAAATTAATACATTCAGTTTTGCTTGGTGAGCGTGAAATCAGAAATGAGGAATTAAGATGGCTAATTGGCTATTTCTAAGTTATACTAAAAACCCTTTGAACACATAATGGGAGGCTATTCAAGTGTATAGGCTGGAGTGCAGTGATATCCTGGGTACTCTCAGCCACAGACTATGTTTGGGCTTATCACTGACCACTTGCCTCTTTTCTTTGATCTACATTGCTATGCAATCCTCCTGGTTTCCATTGTGGCCTCTTATTTCTTGGTGCCATCATTCTATATGTTTATTTATAGTTTTTACATTTAGGTTAATTGCATTTTTCCAATTTCCATTTTGCTTTTTTTTTTTTTTTTAGTATAGTATATGAATTTACGTTAACCTCCATCAAAGAAAGTTCATGCTCTTTGACCTTTACCACTTTTTCTTTTAGTTTATATTCAGCTCACTTAGACAAAGCAGTAACACGTTACTTATCTGGTATCATTGAAGATATTTGATATTTCATATACAAATTTTTATGTAGCTGAAGCTTGCTTTTTTAAGCATTAATCTTTAAAATGTTTAACCATTTCAGGTGGTTATATACTCTATAACCTTACAGAATACCTACCCTATATTCTTAAAAAAAATACATTGAAGATAATTTAAATATATTTTAGTGACCTAACAGCATTAATAAGTGTCACTTATTGCACTATGTTCTAATATGATAATGCCCTAAGAGGCTTTTAATTCTTACAAAACAGTTTATATTAAATGACTTTATAGTCTTTATTGCCCTTCTTGTGGTTATTCTCTCTCATTTCCTAGCTCTCATTTCTTGATGAACTTGCTACATTATTTTATACACCATTTCCTGGGAAAGAAAGGGTCCCTGTCTAAAGAGTAAAGTGCATGGGCTTTGAAATTATTGCTTTCCTCAGAAGCCTTTTTTCTTGCCTTTGAATCCCTGTGTTCTGGAAAATAGAGGTTGCCAGAAGTCTGATCTACTTATAATTGGATAAGTGGAATGTTACTGTTAATTTTAAAATACATGGATCATAATTTAAAAGATAAGAATTAGTCCTCGTGCACAGTGTTGTCAAAAACATTCATTGCTATGTCTGCATGCATTTAGTAGAATACTTGCTTTATAAATACAAAAACTTCTTTGGGGTTAATCATTAAAAGAAAAAAGGCACAAAGTGATTAGTTTACCAATGGATTTTTACTATAACATAAGAATTGTTAATTTTCAAAGCATGGCTGTTTTGGAGTGGGGCAAAGGTAATGCTTAAATACTCCTTTTTTGCTATATCTTTTTTTTCTCTGAATCATTTTCCGTAATGAAAAAGTTTTTTTTATTTTGGTATTTATACATCAAGGGAATAACAGCGACAGATGTTTATCAGATGTTTATAGGTTTTTTCTCTTAAATTACAGGAATTTCACCTTCAAATCCAAGAGCTCCTTGGCTTTATGCCTTGATTCAGACAGTGAGGATGAGCTAAAACGCTCTGTGGCCCTTAGCCAGAGACTTTGTGAAATGTCAGGCTGTGAACAACAGCAGGACGACCTGGAAAAAGTAAGTAATTTCTCATCAAAATATTTGACAAATATTTGTATAGCTCTTACTATCTAAACAAATGCTTTAAAACCAGCATCAGCAAACTTTTTTTTAAAACAAACTTAGTAAATACACAGAATAGATCATAAACTCATAAACTTAATGGATCTGTTGAAACACTAGCTTTAAAGGTTTTTTTTTTTTTTTTTTAAGATTTTATTTATTCATGATAGTCACAGAGAGAGACAGAGAGGCAGAGACACAGGCAGAGGGAGAAGCAGGCTCCATGCAGGGAGCCCGACATGGGAGTCGATCCTGGGTCTCCAGGATCACGCCCCGGGCCAAAGGCAGGCGCCAAACCGCTGCACCACCCAGGGATTCCGAAACACTAGCTTTAAAGAGTTTATTTTCTGTAACTACAAAACCAGTTTGTTTAAAAATGGATTGGGACTTTTTTTTACTGAGGTATAATTGATATATTAGTTTCAAGTATATAGCATATTGATTCAATATTTCTAAGTATTGCAATAAGATCACAGTAAGGTAACATCCATTACCATACATAGGTAGCCAAAAAAACTTTTTTTTCTTGTGATAACGACTTCTAACATCTATTCTCTTAAGCAACTTTCAGATCTGCAATAAAATATTAATAATAGTCTAGCTCTTTTCATTACATCCTCACAACTTATGTATTTTATAACTGGAAGTTGGTCTGCTTTACCCATTTCATGTGAACACATACTGGCTTCCTCCCCTAGCAACTGCTGGTCTGTTCTTTACATCTCTGATCTTGTTGGGTGTGGGGGTTGTTTTGTTTTAGATTCCACATGTAAGTGAAATATGGTATTTGTCTTTCTCTGATTTATTTCACTTAGCATAATACCTTCAAGGGTCCATCCATGTTGCAAATGACAAAATTTCATTTCTTTTTTTTTTGTGGCAGAATCGTATTCCATTGTATGTGTATACCACATTTTTATTTAACCATTGATGGACATTTAGGTTGTTTCCATGATTGAGACTCTAGAAATAAAAGTTGTTACAGGTAAATTGCTTTCTCCTGTTAATCTTCAGAGCTGCTTTTATGTATGGGTCTTGAAATAATTACTCGCTTTATTTATTACTGATTATTAATATATGGGAGACTGTAGTAAGCATTTTACAGCAGGCCAACCATGTAATCTAGAGGTTTCAATAATGTGAGAAAGCAGAACTTCATCATTTTCTGTCTTGACACATATTAGTACTTTGTTTTTGTTTTTATGGTGAAAAAAAATTATATTTAGATTTATAGCTGGCTGGACTCCATTTAGATGATCCCAATTTTGTTGGCAACATCCAAAGCATCATAGTCAGGAGCCAGTCGAACATATGCTTTCTTCTCTCCATCAGTCCTGATCAGGTGTTGACCTTGGCCACATCAGTGTCATAGAGCTTCTTCACAGCCTATTTGATCTGGTGCTTATTGGCCTTGACATCCACAATGAACACAAGTGTGTTGTTGTCTTCTATTTTCTTCATGGCTGATTCAGTAGTCAGGGGGAACGTGATGATGGCATAGTGATCCAGCTTGTTTCTCCTGGGGGCGCTCTTTCAAGGATATTTGGGCTGCCTTCGGAGATGCAGGGTCTTGGGTCATCAGAATGTAGGTGACTCTTTTTTTTTGTGACTATGCACGTCTTTCAGCACCGCTTTCTTAGCTTTCAAAGCCTTTGCTTTGGCTTTAGCTTTGGGAGGGGCAAGGGCTTCCTTCTTCGCCTTCAGCGCCACCTTCGTGAAAGGCAGTATTTTGAAGATACAGATTTTCCTAGGAGTTTGCACCATCTCATGTGACTGATTTTAAATCTCCGTTTTGTTAACAATTAGTTTAGTAGTTAATTTTTATTGACTTGTTTCCCATCTTCTTTAAAGCTAAAGATAGTTTGTGGCTGCTCACCTTGAATGAGAAATGATAGAAAGTCACATGTTCTCCCAGAAACGAGAGAAAGTGCTTCAGAAAATAATTTCTGAATATTTATATAATCTTAATGTTGTTTTTATTTTTCTCACTTATTTGAAAAGAGCAGGGGAAAAGATGGTGACCTAAAATTTAAATAGCAATGAAAAAAGAAGTATTAGGTATACCGTCAGAATGGCTAAATTAAGAACTCAGGAAACAACAGGTATTGCTGAGGATATGGCAAGATTGGAACCCTTTTACATGGTGAAGATGCAAACTGGTACACGCACTCTAGGAAACAGTATGGAGGTTCTTCAAAAAGTTAAAAATAGGGACACCTGGGTGGCCTAGCGGTTGAGCATCTGCCTTCGGCTCAGTGCATGATCCCAGAATCCTGGGATCAAGTCCTATACATCAGGCTTCCTGCATGGAACCTGCTTCTCTCTCTGCCTTTGTCTCTGCCTCTCTCTGTGCGTGTCTCTCATGAATAAATAAAATCTTAAAAAAAAAAAAGTTAAAAATAGAACTATTCTGTGACTGAGCAGTTGTACTATAACGTATTTATCCAAAGGATTCAGAAATAGTGATTCGAAGGGATACATGCATCCCAATGTTTACAGCAGCACTGTCCACAATAGCCAAACTATGGAAACTATCCATTGACAGATGAATGGATAAAGAAGATGTGGTATATATACATACAATGGAATATTACTCAGCCATCAAAAAGAATGAAATTTTGCCATTTTGTAATAACATGGATGGAACTAGAGGATATCTTGCTAAGCAAAATAAGTCAGAAAAGACAAATACCATATGATTCATATGTTGGAATTTAAGAAAACAGATGAACATGGGGAAGAGAAGGAAAAATAAGATAAAAACAGGGAAGCAAACTATGAGACTTTTTTTAAGATTTTGTTTGAGAGAGACAGAGCTTGAGCATGAGTGGGGAAAGGGGGGATGGAGACAGAAAAAGGGGGAAAAGCAGACTCCCTCCTGAGCAGGGCTTCGTTTCCAGGATCCTGAAACCATGACCTGAGCCTAAGGCACACTTAAGCAACTGGGTGGCTCAGTCAGCAACTGAGGGTTGCTGGAAGAGAGGTGCGTCAGGGGATAGGGTAGTTGGATGGTGGGCATTAAGGAGGTCACTTGGTGTAATGAGCACTGGGTGTTATGCACATAATAAATCACTAAATTCTATCCCCAAAATTAATACACCATATGTTAACTAAATTAAATTTAAGTAAAAAATTTAAAAATGTAACTAAAATGACAAAAAAAATACTAGGTTTAGTGACAGAGTGATCCACGTATATCTGGAAGAAAATACACCAAAAATATTTACTGTAGTTATTTCTGAGTGATGGATTTTGAGTGAATTTATTATTTTTATGTATTTTCCAAATCCTATACTTAACACTTAATATAATCAATAAAATAAACATGTATCCCTGTGTACTTATTAAAAGAAAATTAGGTTTGCCAGAGTTCATACATCAGTTATTAGTTGCTAAATGACCCAAAACATCAAAGAAAGGAAACTTTTTAGAGATAAACTTTTCACATCAAACTCTAAGATTGCCATATTCTCAGGCATTCTGGTTTCCTCTAAAAGTAACTCTCTTCTTCAGGATTCAAAATCATGCAGAATAGAGCCTGATAAGTCAGAATTGGAAAACTCTGGATTTGATGGAATGAGCGAAGAAGAGCTGCTAGCAGCTGTTTTAGAGATGAGTAAGAGAGAAGCTTCACCAACTCTGAGTCATGAAGATGATGATAAACCAACCAGCAGCCCAGATACCGGATTTGCCGAAGATGATATTCAAGAAATGCCTGAAAATCAAGACCCTGTGGAAACTGAGAAGCCCAAAACAGTCACAGAGCCTGGTAGGTTTAATGAAAATAAACATCTGTTAAGGCACAGCTATGTTCTAAAGCTTTATAGGGACAAGTGGTTTCTAAATAATGGGAGGTGAAATGGATCTGTGTAACAAGGCTAATAATATTTTCATGCTTTAAAAAAAAAAAAACAGGTTAAAAAAATGAGAAGTAAATACTGTGAGTAGTATCCAGAGGCTGGTGGTAAAGTATGCCATATATCTTTAAATGTACATCAAAAGAATAGTTAAAATTCTTTTGTACATTTTAAGTAAATGTCATTGTTTTGGTCACTTTTTTCTCACCACTGCTCTCTCAGAAACTGGTATAATTCTTTCCTCATTTTTCTGCATCTGAATTTGTACTAAGTTTTAGTGTATAGATGATAATTCTCCTTTGGGTTCATCCCTTTATAATAGAAAGACCCCTGAACTAAGAGGTCAGGTTTTGAGTCTCTAATCTTTAACTATCTCTTCCTATAACCAACTCTAATATTGTTCTCCAGATATCCTTGAAATGCATATCTATTTGTCTACCTGATGTGTTCAGTACATCAAGCTGAGAATTTTGGAGATAAATAGCAGTAAATCACAATTATTTTCTGTATTCTTGGAATTAAGCCTCATCAGTTGTGAATTAGTTTACATGCAAGTAAGAGTAAGAATTAGTATATCCTCAGTCTAATTGGAAACAGAAAGCTGATGGTTTTTGGAAATAGATGTTCCTTCCCCCCCCCTTCTTGATGCAAGTATCATTAAGAAATCCCTTTCTCTTATTAAACTTGTAGTTACTGCCATTAGATATCATTGGTTAATATTAGTGCTTTTGCCTTTAGCCAATAATTCCTGCTTTCAACTCTTCCTTTCACATATTTGCTCAGTCCTGCAGCTCCCTAAAATTAACAAAGGAAGTTACATACAATTAGTTCTAGATTCTCTATAAGTAGAGAACACTGAGTTATCAAAATCATTAATAACCACTGCGGTTTACAACCATATAGCAGCTTTGAGGAGAGCAAAGTTGTTTTTAAGTACTTTATATTCTTTTTATAAAATCCTCTATTGTCTAGCTACTGTCTTCCCCAATTGGATACAAGCCTTTTTTGTGTTTCTTTAATGTCACTGTTCCATTCACCACCTTCTTACTGTAACTGAAACCCAAAGACATTGCTTCTGCTGCAGCATTTCTTTTCTTTTTTTTTTTTTTTCTGGAAAATATGGAACAAGGGCAAAAGTAGAAAAAAAAAAAAGGACAAAAGTAGAGAGATGAGTATAATGGCTCTTCCCCCTTGTACCTATTACCAACAATAATTATCAAAAAAGCCAATCTTGTCTTTATATATATATCATCTTCCTTCTCCTTCATCTGCTTAAAAATATACAATAACTTCCTAAAGCTTTTGAAATAAAAGTCCAAACTTCCAAACGTGGCTTTAGGCCATGTAAAAACTAGAGAATGTATTCATCACCTTCATCTGCTAGATTTTTTTTTTTTTAAGATTTTATTTATTCATCAGAGACACAGAGAGACACACTTCTCTCCTTCCAACGTACTTAGTGTTATGTTCTATTCAGTGATTATTTGATTTCATTAAGATTTCCAGTCCTGGGATCCCTGGGTGGCGCAGCGGTTTAGCGCCTGCCTTTGGCCCAGGGCGCGATCCCGGTGCATTGAGCCTGCTTCTCCCTCTGCCTGTGTCTCTGCCTCTCTCTCTGTGTGTGTGACTATCATAAATAAATAAAAATTAAAAAAAAAAAAAAAGATTTCCAGTCCTGGGGTACGTAGGTGGTTCAGTCAAATGAGTGTCTAACTCTTGGTCTTGGCTCAGGTCTTGATCTCAGGGTTGTGAGTTCAACCCCCATGTTGGGCTCCATGCTAGGTGTGAAGCCTACTTTAAAAAAAAAAAAAATTTCCAGTCCTTTGACTTCTTTTTTGCTACTCATCATCTCCCTCTTTCGATTTCCCAGCCTGTATGCTGGATCTTGGTATCCTCATCTCTTTTCCTCTTCTCTTTTGTCACAGTCACCTGACACAACCCCAGCTCCCAGCTCAACTAGCTTCCTATATACCCAAGCAGCTGAAGATTACTGAGAAAATCACAAATTCATGCTGACTAGACTTCCCTCTTATTCATGACTGTACTCTTAAGTGGGCACTAAATGCTACTAGTCAGTTCTGTTATACTTCTTTAGTTGTAAATTTCTTTTCTCACTCTCCATGATCTCTTCCTCAAATATCCATTTCTCTTTCCACACACACTCTAGGTTTATAGATAAACTGTGTACTTTTCAAAGAAGATAGATGTAGTCATGAAAACTCTGCCTTCACTTTTGTTATGGAGGAAATATCCCTGCTCTTATTTAAGGCCAGTCTTCTGTTCATGTTCAGAATTTGATCCACTGTGCCTTCCAAAAGATCTCTCTTGAAATTATATTCTTTCTCTTCTGTATCAAGTCTTCCCTCTCTTTAAATTATTCTTCTCTTCCTTAATCTTAAAATTTCTTAAAACCCCATCTTTAAAAAACTCTGGTGACCTTCTGTTCCCCTACTGCTACTGCCCTCTTTTTTTGCTCTACTCACAGCAGAATTCTTTGAGAGAGTTGTTTATTCATTCTTTCTACTTTTTTACCATTTCCCATTCTCTTGTCAACCCTCTCCAAGTGGGTTTTCCTCCCCATCACTCTACTGAAACGGTGTTTATCAAGTTTATGTTAGTGGTATTTCACATAATTCACCACTCCCTCCTTAACATTTAAAACTTTTAAAAGCTTTTTTTCTCTGAGCTTCCATGATAACCATACTTGGCAGAGGGTTTTCTTCCTACTAAACCCAACCAGCTACTCACTTCAATTATCCACCCCACCCCCCAGCCAGAACTCTAATTGGTGGAGTATTCCCAGGACATCATCCTTAGCTGTCTTCTCTACTAAAGCTGTCTCCCTGAGTCATCTCGTATTTTACCACAGCTTCACATACTGATGAACTACCCAATACGTATCTCTAGCCTGAATCTCTCTCATGAGCTTTAAACTTATAGCTTAAACTTTACATTTAAAGCAGCCAAAATAATCTCTATGAAGCATAAATCACAGTTATTCTTCTTTAAATTTATTTGATATACCATTACACTTCATCCAAGCTTCTTAACATGGCCTATCTCCACTCTCCCCCTCTTTCACTCTACTTAGCCGTCATGGCTTTTGTCTCTCTGTTACCCTCAAAATATGCTAAATTCATTCTCATCTGAGAGTCTTTGTACTTACTTAAGCTCCTTGAGGACAAGGGTCATCTTGCCTCAATTATCACAATATCCCGATCTTCTACAACAGTGCCCGGGGCGTAGTAGATCCTCAGTTAATATTTGGAGCCCAATAGATTGTCTCATGAATCAACTCAAGAGAGGCAGGAGGACTGGCCAAGTAAAGTTTCACTGTCTCCAGACACTAGCCAGAGAGAAGAGTGTATGCAAAGGCCAGATGTGAGAAAGGCTGGCAAGGTAGTGGGCAACAAAAAAAAAAGTTTAGAATGATCTATATGGCCGGAGCTTAGTGTTGAGGAAGAAAAGCAAAAGATAGCCATGCATTCTCTAGGAATGGCCTAAAGCCACGTTTGGAAGTTTGGACTTTTATTTCAAAAGCTTTAGGAAGTTATTGCATATTTTTAAGCAAACAAGTGCTTGATAAAGATTTATATTTGTAAAAGATGATTCTGGCTGCAGTGTAACACATAAATTAAAGAACCCAAAGTAATCCTTTGAGACCTTTTAGAAAGCTACTGCAGTTGTCTAGACCAAAAGCCAATGGTGCCTTAGGCCAGGGTTTTTGCATTTGAAAGAAAAGTTGATGGAGTTAAGAGATACTTAGGAAATAATGACTTATATGAAGGGGTAAATAAAAAAGACCTGCTTTCTGTCTTTAAGAAAAAATTGTGTATGGAGTTCCCATTCACTGTAGGAAAGGAGATTTCACTTAGGGTAGGGAAAGAGACAGTATGATCTGTATTCAGTATATAAGAATGTCGAGTTTTATCACATGATTTTCCTTTTATTCATTGTACAAGTTCCTTGAACTTAAGTTTTAGGGAACTTAAAAGTGTGTTACTATTCCATGGTTATATTTGTTCCCATGGATCTCAAGCAGTGTTTGTATCCATCTGATAATCTTGTCCTGAAGTTAAACCTATCTTGATTATCTCAAACTTTATCTTTTTTTTATGATTGATTCTTTTATTTTTTTACAAAAGTTTATTCTTAAATGTACAACAGGATCTAAGACAACACTTCATCCCAGCTATAGGTGGTAACAAATGCTATGATAGGGAATCCAGATGTTTAAACAGGAACGGAATTAAGGATCATCACTGCCTCAGGCACAAGGAATAGCTTACTTTTTGCCAGATTTCTTAATTCCACCTGTGGCCAGAGGTCCCTTCCTTGCAGCCTTGGCGTTTAGTTTCTTCTGCTCCTCTTTCTGTTTCTGCTGGAATGCCTTATCTTCCTCGTCCATCTCCTTGGCCTGTTTCTAGGGCTGCTTCAGGGACTTATTGCCACCTTTGCAACCGGACATGGTGCCTGCCACCCCTTCCCCAGACCCTGGCAGTGGAAGCCTATCTCAAACTTTCTTGATTGGTTTTCTATTACATGGAATCACTGATAGTGTAATTTTAGGATTGTGTAGAGCACATTGATACATGGAATGATGAAAATTATTGGTTAAGAAAAATTGTACTTGTCGCTTTTTTTAATTGAGTATATTTTGGTAATAAAAGTAATAATATTTTTCTTAGGTCCTAAAAAAGCAGCCTTATTAGCTCCCAAATCTTTCTTCCACGTGAAATGTTTCCCATCAGCTAACTTTGTATGCCTCAGTTCCAGATTTCCAGAAGTAATCTGATTGGTTAACTCAAATATCCATTCCTGGTGTACTAAGCTAAGGCCACAGGGACAGGTAGGGTCAGATGGACTTGAGAGCTGCCCCTTTGGGGCTATGGAAATGACTGTTTCTCCAAGAATGGAGGAAAGGAAGAAGTTCTGACATCTTTTATATATATATATATATATTTTTTTTTTTTTAATTGGGATCATACTGCTTTTGCCCTTAATATATCCTGAGGGGGGGATCCCTGGGTGGCGCAGCGGTTTGGCGCCTGCCTTTGGCCCAGGGCGCGATCCTGGAGACCCGGGATCGAATCCCACGTCAGGCTCCCGGTGCATGGAGCCTGCTTCTCCCTCTGCCTGTGTCTCTGCCTCTCTCTCTCTCTGTATGACTATCGTAAATAAATAAATAAATAAAATTAATTTAAAAAAAAATATATATCCTGAGGGTTTTTTTCTCTTTTAATGAATATTCAGAGTTAGTTCAATTCAATACAATTAAAAAATGATGAACTACTTACTGATTTGGAGTCTAAAATCAAGATGCTGGGCAGCCCTGGTGGCGCAGTGGTTTAGCGCCGCCTGCAGCCCAGGGCATGATCTGGAGACCCTGAATCGAGTCCCACGTCAGGCTCCCTGCATGGAGCCTGCTTCTCCCTCTGCCTGTGTCTCTGCCTCTCTCTCTCTCTGCAGCTCTATGAATAAATAAATAAAATCTTAAAAATAAAATAAAATAAAATCAAGATGCTGTAAACTTCAGAGTCTGTGCTATAGAAAAGTATCTATCATTTAAGTGGTTAAAAATGCAGTTTTAGGGAAGGTAAAGAGCTACTAATTTTGTGTGTGTGTGTGTGTGAATGAGAGCAAGGAGGGGGAGAGGGAAAGAGAGAACCCTCAGCAGGCTCCCCACCCAGCATAGAGCCCAACATGGGGGTTTAATCTCACAACCCTGAGATGTTTAACTGACTGAGTCATCCAAACACCCTGAGCATATACTGATTTTACAGCAATCCATATAAAATTAATCTGTAAAGGTAATTCTTGTTATAACCAAATTATTTTTATATGAGAATTTCCTTAAGCTGAGAACCTTTGTTTTACAATTTGTAAGGTGGTTTGAGAAAGAAGAATCCTTTGTCTACCACTCTTACCTGTATTAAAATTATAATGAAATACTGTTCTCAGAGCAAAATCCATGTCACCAGAACAAAATCATGACCATACTGTTTATTCTTAGCTAGCTGTGTTCTAGAGACTGAGAAGGAACAGAAAGAAATGAAAGATTAATTTTTTTCTTATCTCCTTGGATGAATATTTTAAACATCTATATTATTTACTTGTACAGTACATGAGGTGTTTATTACATATCTCATGTAGCTCTTTTGATTTAGAATATGTACAAGGCTTATTTGATTATTAATGTGAAAATATACTCATTGACATACTATTTAATAGTGAAAAATTCTCAGTATTAGCTTAATCACTCTACCCTAATTCTTATTTCATTTATTCTAAACAATACTTTATTCCTAGTACTTGGTCATGTGAAATTATGACTGGCTGTGAAAATGGCTACTCATTTTTCTCCATACTGAATGATAGTGCTTCTGATGATTGGTTAAGTTTCAGAACCATTGCTATAGATCAGTGGTTCTTAACCAAGGACAGTTTTGTCCCCCAGGGGACATTTGACAATGTGTGTCATTTTTGGCTGTCACTACTAGGGGAGAGGAGTGCTTGGCATCTAGTAGGTAGAGGCCAAGGATATCGCTAAACATTCTGCAGTCTATAAGACAGCTCTCTGAAACAACGAAAAAAAATTATCCCACCCGGAATGTCAGTAGTGCTGAGATTGAGAAACCATGATCTAAATGTAGTAAGATGAAATCATATGTCCTAAGCAGGTTATCTATGAGGTTCAGGTCAATTACTCTCTCAACAGTAGATGTCACTCTAATCCGGAGATTTCAGTTTGAGAGGATTTCCCAGTTATGTCCTGTTCTGCTTCCTCAGATCCTGCCAGTTTTACTGAGATAACTAAAGACTGTGATGAGAATAAAGAAAACAAAACTCCAGAAGGATCTCAAGGAGAGGTCGATTGGCTCCAGCAGTATGATATGGAGCGTGAAAGGGAAGAACAAGAGCTTCAGCAGGCATTGGCTCAGAGCCTTCAAGAGCAAGTAAGAGATAATTATATTGCTATTTTCTCCATACCCATCTTTCCCAGTAATAACAACTAACAGGTGTTAAGCACTTACTGTATGTCAAGCATTGTTCCAGTAAATGAATAAATCATTGATAGAGCAAAACTTTGTTTGGAGCTTTGCCTTGGGTTTCAAATAGAAACAGTGATAGTTTTTCTTTTTTTGAAAATCCAAATGCAACAAAATATATTGTTGATTATCTTCCATTACTGTAATTCATTGCATACTCCACCGACTGAGACAGCCAGGAGCCCCAAATAATAATCTGTTCTTAAATTTTTAGTTCTTCATGCTTGTATTTGGCAGAGCTGGTCAATTGCAGTTGCCTGAGGTGTCTGACTAAAAGGTGATGTTTTCACAGTTATCTAAACCAATGCAGCCCAAGTCATGTTAGTAGTAAAAATTTACTAAAACTCCCTAGAATAAATGCACAGCTTTAGTGTTTACAAATAATCAGATTAAGAAATCTGTTTTGGGGCAGCCCCAGTGGCTTAGCAGTTTAGTGCCACCTTCAGCCCAGGGCGTGATCCTGGAGACCTGGGATCGAGTCCCACGTCAGGCTCCCGGCATGGAGCCTGCTTCTCCCTCTGCCTGTGTCTCTGCCTCTCTCTCCTTCTGTATCTCTCATGAATAAATAAATAAAATTAAAAAAAAAAAAGAAATCTGTTTTGTCTTGGGGTCCTGGTTGGCTCAGTTGGTGGTATATGTAATTCTTGATCTTGGGGTTGTAAGTTTAAGCCCCATGTTGGTATAGAGATTACTTAAAAATAAAATTAAAAAAAAAAAGAACTCTAATTGGTGTAGAATGATGGGGTTCAACCTTAACTGCACATTAGTATCATCTGGGGAGCTTTAAAAAATACTGATGCCTGGGTCGTTCTTTTCTCCTCAGGAATTCTGATACAGTTGATCCTGGGGTGCAGTCTGGGCATCCAGATTTCTTTCCTTTTCTCTATTTGTATCCCCTCCCCTCTCCCTCCCTTTCCTCCTTCCTTCTTGCTTTCTTCCTCCCACCCTTCCTTCCTTCCCTCCCTCCCTCCTTACTTGCTTCTTTCATTTTTAAAAACTCCCCACAGTGATTCTAGTATTCAGTCAAGGTTGAGAACTGCTGCTTTAAAAAGATTTCAGAACCATCTGTTCTGTATCCTTTTATTTAGAAGTACCTCCCTAGATGCCTGGCCCTCAGGATGTATTTATGTCACTCATTTTACAAATAATGAATAGTAATCGTTTGTTTTAGAAAACTTATTTTTAATATAAAATTTCTTAACAATAGTTCCTTATAGTGCAGAAAATGAAAAATTCAAAACCCTTCTTTTTCATATACAGAAGACGTATATTCTGTTTCTTGTCAGCTGACCCAGTTAAAACTATCTTATAAATCTATCTTCACATTTGAGAAATATAAGATGAAGTTTCTTTAGTTTGGTATACCTACATCATTCCGTTAATAGCTAAGAGTCTTTTAACATCTGGGTTTCCACATCGACTTTATATGCTGGATAAGTTTTAATCATATTTCTTCTTAGAGAATATCTGTTTCTCTCTTGAATTACAGTATTCTTGTTCCCAGGACTGTAATGCAGAATAGCTCATTGTAAGCTTCTTAATATACTTTAGTAACTTTAAAAACAAGTCTAGGGGCGCCTGGGTGGCTCAGTCAGTTAAGCCTCTGACTTCAGCTCAGTTCATTATCCTGGGATCCTGGGTTTGAACCCCGTGTAGGGCTCCCTGTTGAGCAGGGAGCCTACCTCTCCAGCTCCTCTGCTATTTCTCCCAGTTGTGCTCTTCTCTCTCTCTCTCTCTCTCTCTCTCTCTCTCTCTCTCTCTCTCTCTCTCTCTCTCTCCCCCTCTCTCCCTCTCTCCCTCTCTCCCTCTCTCCCCCTCTCTCTCCCTCTCTCCCCCTCTCTCCCCCTCTCTCCCCCTCTCTCCCCCCCTCCCCCTCTCCCCCCCCCCCCGTCAGATAAATAAGATCTTTAACAACAACAACAAAAACAAGTCTAGACTTGAGAAAAGTATAAAACCGTTCTGCTTAAATTACATTTTTTTCCTTCATTTGCACATGAAGTTTGTAAATTTTATTTTCTCTGCCGATGAGAGACAAAATTTTTTTATAGTCAGCCATTCCATATTTTTATTATTAGTCATTCAGTTGAGACATTTTCAAAGATACTTGTTTTTTTAAGAGCAGATCACCTCAGATGTATTAGAGAAATAACAGTTAACAGTCAGTGAATTCATTTCGTTTTCATCAAGTTATCTGTTATGTCTTGGGCTTTTTTAGCAAGAACAAAGTAGAAGTGATTAAATAATCTTGTGGAAATATTGTTTATCTTGCTGTCACAGACTTAGGGTCAGCGATATGCTGAAGCCAACTCAGCATCATGTTAGTAGCTTAAAATTGGCCATAGTGGGGATCCCTGGGTGGCGCAGCGGTTTGGCGCCTGCCTTTGGCCCAGGGCGCGATTCTGGAGACCCCAGATCGAATCCCACGTCAGGCTCCCGGTGCATGGAGCCTGCTTCTCCCTCTGCCTATGTCTCTGCCTCTTTCTCTCTGTGTGACTATCATAAAATAAATAAAAATTAAAAAAAAAAATTCGCCATAGTGGAAATGTTTATACTGTGAAAATCGGCAAATGGCTATAAATCAGAGGAAAGAAATCAGGGCAGTTTGCTAATAAGTAGGTTCTGCTATGTGCCAGGTATTTCATACATATAAGAAGAAAGGGAATTATATCATAATGTCAGAGTGAATGACTTTTGGTTCACAAGCCAAATGTCACTAACTAGAGGAGACAGCGTGTAAGGCTTTTTAACCTCCCAAGGTTGTGTTTTAAGTGGACAACATTGAAAAAAGTAAAGAATTTCTCCACATCCCTCGAAGGTCATATTCTAAACATTTGTAAGATTATGGAAAATATATTTTTAAAGGATTTTATTTATTTGAGAGAGCTAGCACAAGCAGAGGGGCAGAGGAAGAGTGAGAAGCAGGCTCCCTGCTGAGCAGGGAGCCCAAGGTGGGGCTCAATCCTAGGACCCTGAGATTATGACCCGAGCCGAAGGCAGACACTTAACCGATTGAGCCACCTAGGAGCCCTGATGGAAAACATTATTAGCAAATAATTCCAGAGCAGTGGATTTTATAATTGTTAAATAAGTTTAATCAGTACCGTTTTAAATACCTTAGTTGTGTTCTTATCCCTTTAGGAAGCCTGGGAACAGAAAGAAGATGATGACCTCAAAAGAGCAACAGAGTTAAGTCTTCAAGGTGTGGAGATTACTTTAATTACATTGTTTTAATGATGAAATGTATCACAGAAAATATGTGAAGCATTATTTTTAGTGATGATAACAAATGTGAACTCCTTCAAGGTAAAGAAATAGAACCTTAGGGATCCCTGGGTGGCGCAGCGGTTTGGCGCCTGCCTTTGGCCCAGGGCGCGATCCTGGAGACCCAGGATCGAATCCCACGTCAGGCTCCCGGTGCATGGAGCCTGCTTCTCCCTCTGCCTGTGTCTCTGCCCCTCTCTCTCTCTCCTCTGACTATCATAAGTAAATAAAAATTAAAAAAAAAAAAAGCAAAAAGAAATAGAACCTTAGAAATAACCTGTATACCTCTTCCACCCCAGAGAAAACCACTATTCTAATTTTTGTATCCATCAGTAGCTTGCTTTTTTTTTTTTTTTTTTTTTTATTCATGAGAGACACAGAGAGGGAGGCAGAGACACAGGTAGAGGAAGAAGCAGATCCATGCAGGGAGCCTGATAAGGGGCTTGATCCTGGGTCTCCAGGATCACACCTGGGCCAAAGATGCCGCTAAATCGCTGAGCCACCCAGGGATCCCCAGTAGCTTGCTTTTTTAAAATAATTTTATCATCTATATCCGTATCCCCCTTTTTTAATTTTGAAAAGTTAAATCAAAAGAACAATCTGTCTGTAATTCATCTATATGAAAGAGCATTACTTAAAAAAAAAAAAGAAAAATGAAAGAGCATTACTGCCACTAGTAGGGCTATTAGGAGAAGATAATGTGGCTTCAGTTAATCCATGAATTTATAAGAGTTCACTCTTAGGAAGTCAGTGGGCAAAAATCATGAGTGAGTATTAGAAACATAACTCTTACCATAGTCATGGCCTTTCAATAGAACTAATATATGGACCAGGTGCTAACAGGGACATATAGCCATGGGAATTATACTAAGTTTTATTTTCTATGATCACTGGTCTTTCTCTGGTTCTCAGAAATGAATCAAAGCAGAACACTTTGGTGTTACAAACTAAGTGCTCTAGGCTGATCTATACACCAGGGTATAGAGAAGAGGGCATGAGTTTTGTGGCACATAGTTGAGGCAGTTACAAATAAGAATTGAAGCAAGGTTTACCAAGGCATTCTGTCCTCCTATTAAAAAACTGGTGTAGTAGTGGCAGTGATGGCAGCGATGGCTGTCCCAAGTCCTGTTGTACCAGTCTGGACTAATTGCCCTCTACATCCACACAGATACTGTGAGATCTCCCTAACCATTCTCCTGGGGATTCCCTTCTGATTCTCTCCTTTCTTTGAATCTCCATTTCCTGTTTCTCACTCTTCTTCATTCTTGGTCTGTACTTGTGCTTTGATGGAGAACATCCTAGTAGTTTTCTTAGAAAAGAGGGACTGAGGGGTGCCCGGCTGGCTCAGTCAGAAGGGCATATGACTCTTGATCTGAGGATCATGAGTTCAAACCCCACATTTGGTGTTAGAGGTTACTTAAATAAAAACTTTTAAAAAATTTTTTAAATAAAATAGGGGTTATGACTTAGATTTTTTGGAGACCTTGCAAGTTTTACTCTACCCAGTCAAGTATTTGATTAATACTTTAGCCTGAATATAGAAGTCTGGGTTTGCAATCATTGTGAAAGTACTGTTTGCAGAGTTGCTGTAAGAAAGCTATTCTTTATCCTAATAGGACCTCTTTTTTCTCTGAAAGCTTGTAGGATCTTCCTTTTATTTCTGTTGTGATGAAGTGTCAAGCAACATGCCTTGATGTGGGTCTGTTTCATCCATTTTGCTGGCCATTTAGTTGATCATTTTAATAGAGAAACGTGTCCTTCAATTATAAGCAATTTTCACTGACTTCCCTTTCTTTTTTTAGTTTTTTTATTTTTTATTTTTCTTTTTTAAGATTTTATTTATTTATTCATGAAAGACACAGAGAGAAGCAGAGACACAGGCAGAGCGAGAAGCAGGCTCCATGCAAGGAGCCCAACGTGGGACTCGATCCCAGGTCTCCAGGATCACACCACGGGCTGAAGGCAGCACTAAACCACTGAGCCACCCGGGCTGCCCCCTTTCTTTTTTTAGATTTATTTATTTATTTGAGGGGGGGGGCAGAGGGAGAAAATCTTAAAGCAGACTCCCCACTGAGTGTGGAGCCCAACACAGGACTCAGTCCCAGCACCTGTGAGACCATGACCAGAGCCAGAATTGAGAGTCAGATGCCTAACTGACTGAGCCACCCAGGCACCCCTGTCTTTTGAAACTTCTGTTACCCAGACCTCCTGGTCTGTTTTTTTCCATTTTCTCATTTCTTCTTTCCAGGTTTCCATCTTTGATAATTTTGCTCGGCTCCCTGGGAAATTTCTCTAACCTTATTTCTAACTCCAAACTTTCTTTTGAGTGTTTTGTCATATTTCTAATTTTCAAGAACAGATTTGTTTTGTAAATATTCCTTTTTTGTAAGTTTTTTTGGGGAGATGGAATCATAGAAGCAATACCATCTCAAATCTCTGAGGATGTTAAATATAATTCATTTGTGAAGTTTTCTTCTCCCTGAATAGATTGTTTCCTCCAGCTGCTCTGTCCTATGTGGACATTATTGTCTTTATATTCCTTATTAGAGGCTTTCCTCAGATACCTAGTAATCCTTGGCTGTGGGTTCATGATTAAGAGAAGCAGACTAAAAGGATGGTTGGAAGCCCTAAACACATGAATAGCTAGGGCTTGTCACTTGTGTGTTTTACAGAGTGGGACTGTTTTGGGGATGATATTAATGTTTTAGGCCTTTCTCTTGGGCTGGTCAGATTCCTAAAAAAGAGTTTTCTAATCTCTTGCCTTTGCCTAAAGGTAAAAGATGTGGCTGCCAGAGTTCTGGGAACCAAATATAGGAACAGGGCTGGGTGTTATATTCATTCTTCACTATTCAACTGTGGCCCACTCCCGTTTTCAGTATGTGCATGGCATCCCCCAGTCAGAGACTGTATTCACCCTCTCCAGAGGATAAAACTCTAAACTTCTATCATTGCTCAGCAGCATGAAGTCTGGAGAAGAGGATTCTGGGAGTCTGTTTCTCAAGTACTTTTCACCAAATCCTTATTTTTATCTCCTACTTAAGCCTCCAGTTTCAAGGGTACCTGGTACTTCCAAGTTGTATGTTTCTTGAACAGGATTCTGTGTGATGTAAATTGGATTGGTTCTCAACTTTTCCATTACTGGCTTAGGGTTTGGCTTTGGCTCTCCTGGGTCTGCTAATTCAGTCACCATCTACTTTCCAGCTTCCACAATTCTGACACTAGTCTTTTTTTCTGTTCTTCCCATTCTTAGGTGTTCATGTCTTTTAAATAACTATACTGTGATTTGAGTGGAATTAATTATATTTAAAGCAAAGAGGGAGGATGCCTGGGTGGCTCAGTGGTTGAGCGTCTACCTTTGGCTCAGATTGTGATCCTGGGGTCCTGGGATCAAGTCCTGCATCATGCTCCCCAAGGCGAGCCTATTTCTCCCTCTACCTATATCTTGGCCTCTCTCTCTGAATCTCTCATGAATAAGCAAATAAAATCTTAAAACTAAATAAATAAAAAAGCAAAGAGACACTCAAGTACAAATGCTTCTGGGATTTTTTTTTTTTTTAAGATTTTATCGATTTATTTGAGAGAACATGAGCAGGGGGAGCAGCGAGGAGTGACAAGCAGACTCCCCACTGAGCAAGGAGCCTGACATGGGACTTGATTCCAGTACCATGAGATCATGACCTGAGCCAAAATCGCCTCTCTACCGACTGAGGCACCCAGACCCCCGCCTGAGAGTCTTTATTTAAACTCATTAGTAGGGATCCCTGGGTGGCGCAGCTGTTTGGCGCCTGCCTTTGGCCCAGGGCGCGATCCTGGAGACCCGGGATCGAATCCCATGTCGGGCTCCCGGTGCATGGAGCCTGCTTCTCCCTCTGCCTATGTCTCTGCCTCTCTCTCTCTCTCTCTCTGTGTGTGTGACTATCATAAATAAAAATAAAAAAATAAATAAAGTCATTAGTAAAGATGGATTCTTCCAGTGAAAACACATTATTAAAGAAAAAAGTGGATCTTGGATTTAGTTGTTAGTGCATTTTAGTGAAACTTAAGTTAAAGGTTAAATTTGCATTGTATTTGTTAAATTTCAGAAGATTAATATTGAAGAACATGAAAGGATACTAATTTTTTTACGTCTTTTCTGTGAGATCATTTGTACTTGCTAGGGGCACCTACAATATACACCAAGTACTTGAAATCTAACATACAGTTTATGTAATGTGAAATTTAGTGAAATTGGGTTATTTGTAAAATCCTGTTCTTTTTTTCAGTTTTATTCCTTCTTATTAGCATTATATCCCTTTCATATAAACATATTTTTAAGAAAAAGGGACATTTCTTTCATAGATACCTGATACCTGATTGTTATTCCCCACAGTGGGCTAGGTAAATTAGAACCCTAATAATAATATGGTTTATGTTTCCTTAGGATGATAAAATGTGTACTCCAAGCTGTTTTATCTTTCTAATCATATTACTTTGTGTCTATTCTAAGAACTTTTACAACACTTTGTATTCTGCAGAGTTTAACAACTCTTTTCTGGATTCATTGGGTTCTGATGAGGACTCTGGCAATGAGGATGTTTTAGACATGGAATACACAGAAGCTGAGGCTGAGGAACTGAAGAGAAATGCAGAGGTAGGCTCCCTTATTGTCTAAGTAGGACTGCTCGGGCTGCCAGCATCAGTCCTGCCATTTCTCTAACAAGGCCCCACTGTCAGTGTCCATGGTGGCAACTATCAAATGCTCTTCACTTTTTCTTGTCCTTTGCTTCTTCTCTTTTCTCTTTTTTCTCTTTTCTCTTTTCTCTTTTTTCCCTCTCCTCTCCTCTCCCTTCTCTCTCTCTTTTTTTTTTTTTAGATTTTATTTATTTTAGAGAAGGAGAGCCTGTGTGTGAGGGAAGGGGCAAAGGGAAAGGGAGAAAGAATCCCAAGCAGATTCCAAGCTGTATGCAGAGCCTGACACAGAGCTTGATCCCAGGACCCTGATACCGTGACCTGAGCCAAAATCAAAAATCAGATGCCTAACCAACTGAGCCACCTGTTACCCTACTTCTCGTTTGTTGTTCACAAAATTCAAAACAATATGAAATAAAACTAGAAAGACATCCTGACTCCCTTGTGTGCATGTTAGGTAGTAACTGGGTAACATGCCTCTCAATATCATATATATGTATTAATTCACCCGTAGTTCTGCTAAAACTATGTTGTCTTTAAAGTGAAATAACAATAAATAAATAAAGTGAAATGACAAAACTAGTTGGCTATTAGTAAAAACTATTGGATTAATGACATTAAACTACATTGTAACTTTCTTTTACCCTTTTTTTTCCTGAAAGAGTTGTTTTTTTTCCATTTTCCAATTCTTTTTTTTTTTTTTTTTTTTTTATGACAGTCACAGAGAGAGAGAGAGAGAGGCAGAGACACAGTCAGAGGGAGAAGCAGGCTCCATGCACCGGGAGCCTGACGTGGGATTCGATCCCGGGTCTCCAGGATCGCGCCCCGGGCCAAAGACAGGCGCCAAACCACTGCGCCACCCAGGGATCCCATCCATTTTCCAATTCTTTTTGTAATTTTAATTACCTAGGAGTTTACTGTCCTAACACAACTACTGTTAGTATTTTTACATATTATTTTGTCAGCCCTGCCTCTAAGTATGCTTCTAAAAGGTCATAAGTACAGCATTTTTATCCTGTTTACTTGTTAAAGATTACTTATAAGCATTTTATTTTTAATTATTCTATGTGCTATATTCCTTCAGATCAACATACTATTTCATTTAATTTTTAACCATGAATATTTAAGTTTCTGTTGTTCTACTATAATAATACTTTGGGAGGTGCCTGGCTGGCTCAGTTGGTAGAGCTTCCAAACTTTTGATCCCAGGGTCGTAGGTTCAAGCCCCACATTGGGTGTAGAGATTACTTTAAAAATATATTGAGGGACGCCCGGGTGGCTCAGTGGTTGAGTGTCCGCCTCTGACCCAGGGCCTGATCCTGGAGACCCGGGATCGAGTCCCACATCAGGCTCCTTGCATGGAGCCTGCTTCTCCCTCTGCCTGTGTCTTCTGCCCCTCTCTCTCTCTCTCTGTCTCTGTCTCTCATGAATAATTAAATAAAATCTTTAAAATATAGAGAGAGAGAGAAAGAGAGAGAGGGAACTGTGTATGATTGTAATGTTTTTGATATTTAGGATTTTCTTTTGATAAATTCCTCGAAGTAAATTACTGCCTCCAAGTTGAGAAACAGTTTAATGGTTTCTGGTTTACATATACCCATATTCCTTCCCCAAATGTGTACCTTACAGTGCTGCCTTCAGTGCATGAATGTCACTTTCCAGGTTTTTAACATTTTTTTACTAACAATGTCTTAATAGCATTTTTAAGAATATTTAAAATGTTAAAGTTTACCCATAATCCCTATAGCACCACTGCAACTGTTTTCATTTTGTTCATTTTGTTTTCTAGTACTTAAGCATTAACATACCTGCTTTTATAGAGCTATAATTATTGTGTGCATTCGTGTGGGTTTGAAAAATAAGTTAATGTGTTGCTGACCCACTGAATACTATTGTGTTGAGTTGATATACCACTAATCATTCAACTATTATTGGGCCTATTGTTAGTTCCAGCTTTTCATTATTATAGGTAATGCTACAGTGAATAATTTTATACATCTACTCTTTTCTCCTTTTGAATTATTTTCCTAGGATAAATTCTTAGTTGGGAGTAGAATTCTTGGGTCAAAAATCGAGTTTGACTACACACACACTGGAAGTCAGCCATGTTAGCTTTGATCATAAATTTAAATTTAGTGTTTTGTTTTTATTCAAATGAAGAGTTAAACGTCATGCCCACTTCTGTTTTCCAGACAGGAAATCTTCCTCATTCTTATCGGCTCATTAGTGTTGTCAGTCACATTGGTAGCACATCGTCTTCAGGTAAATGGACATGATGATTTCAGCATTTTATACATGAAGTAGCCTATCAACTTGTTCTGTGCCTGGCTTCATGAGCTGTAGGTTGAATGCATCAAGAAAAAGTCTTAAATCTTTCCTTTGATCACACTAAATGGGAATTGTGTTAAACATGCAACTTTTTCTTCTTTTTTTTATAAATGTCCCCGATTCCCCTATATATGTGTAAATTTATTTATCCAAAAAGTTGTCCTAGTGTATATTTCTCCCTTAAATTTCTGTATGTTTTCTGAATGGTTTTTAGAAACATTGTTGGGGATAGGGTGGATGGGGTGGCTGTTTCTCTCTTCAAAACTTCCTGTACCTGAGAAAAATGCAGTGTGTTTTAAAAACTACAATCTTAAGATTGTTTTTATTTTAGGTCATTACATTAGTGATGTGTACGATATTAAGAAGCAGGCATGGTTTACTTACAACGATCTCGAGGTATCTAAAATCCAAGAGGCTTCAGTGCAGAGTGATCGGGACCGAAGTGGTTACATCTTCTTTTATATGCACAAGTAAGAAACTACCAGGTCTGGAGCTATGGGCTAAAAATCTCCCATACTTTTTTTTTCCTGTAAGGACAAATTGTTCCCATCACTTATTGATTGACAATTTTTTACTTTTGTTATTTTTGCTAGGGCTGCTATCTTGATATCTTAACTCCATATTAATTACTTATCTCAGAGTAGCATGTTATGTGATAAAACTGTCCTATCGTAAACATTTTTGGTGTTCAAGTTATATCAGCTAGAAGATCTGAGTTGCATGGATGGGAACTACATAGCATTGTTATCAGGGGTAGCCATTCTCTGCTCACCCCCACCCCGTTTTCTCAAAAATCAGTACTTGGGGTCAAGATAGTGATCAAATGAATGAGCTGCTTATTTAATAAAATTTAGACACCAAATGGAATTGTGTGGGCTTTATCTCAGCATCTTCTGTCTATCCTTTGGCTTTGCTCACTGAATTTCCTGTTTTATTTCTTGTTTGTTTTATCCTAAGGGAGATCTTTGATGAACTGCTGGAAACGGAAAAGAATTCTCAGGCACTTAGCATGGAAGTGGGGAAGACCACTCGTCAGGCCTTGTGAGGAACAAACTCCTGGCTTGGCAGTGTGCACTGCGTATTCCCTCTTATTGCTGCCCACCTCACCTTTCCTCTGCCGAGGAGAATTTGGAATTCTACTTGATGCGGGAGCAACAAACAGCTCAGGGCCAAACCAAAAGACGAAAATTGCAATTATGTGGAACGCTCCATGCTAATTGTTTTATGGAAACTTTGGTCTCACATCTGTAGCTGATTATCCTCTTTTTCTCCTACAAAAGTGGCACTTCCTTTTGTCTTAGGAATACATGTTGTACATATATATATATATATATATATATGTACATACAAACACGTGCACACATATATGTGGAATGAATGGAGCCTTAAAGAGTTAGGAGGAGCCACCAGAGAATGCCTGCTCAAAATTAATAGCACAGCAGTTTGGAGAGAAATGAAGGTGTCAAAGAGTCCATTCACCTGAGAGATGTGTAAAGATATACATATCAGTTGACATTTAGCTTTTCTGTTCCTTGAGTAGTTTCACTCAAGTATATAATCTTTCATGTGTGTTTCTTATTAGTAGAGTTCACTGGAAAGCCAGCTCTCCATGTTACACTAATGACAGTTTGTCCTCCTTGCAAAGGAGAGACATTTCTGCCACCTGGCATGAGGAGCTTTTTTAAAAAAATTATTTCATGGATTTGTGATGCTTTTGCTGTTTACATGCAGTCCCAAGAAATGGATTGTTGGTGCTTTGGGATGGGTTATGGTCCCGTTTGGTATTTGTTGTATACTTTGGATTTTCTTTAAAGAGGTTCCTTTACACAGTATATTCATTGTATATCATCTATATTAGTATGGTAGTGAAGGTAAAATCTTTGTTTTCTTCTGTATCATTCTTCTGTGGAGCAAACATTACCTTAATAGATCACAACCAAACTGTAAGAGGTAGGAAAATAATAGTCCCAATTGGAATTCCCCAGCAAGGATATTTGGGATTAAGGAAGAATGCTGGCATCTGTCTCTCATACATGGAGGGGATCCAGATGATGATTCTTGTATTAAAGCTGAAAACTCTGGACCACTAGAAGCCCTACTGCAAGTGGGAAAATTAAGTACATCAGCTTAAGAGAAAGATTGAACATTTAATCATTTGCTGTCTGGCTTTGCCCTTAAAACAGGGTGAGAATTAGAATGAGATTGGTTTAGGTAATCCCAAGAACTAACAAATAACAAAGGTGCATGATACATTTATCTTTCTGGGTGCTTTGAGTTGAGACTAAGTGGGAGTGCAACATTAAGTACCACATTAGTCACTCAGCTGGTATAACCAGCTTGGTTATTAAGCAGTTTATGAAACCATATAAAGAATGAGTTTGAGAGCAGAATTCTATCCACAAAATAATTTTGTAAGCCCAGGAATCCTTAGGCTCACACAGTGAAGTGTAGCAAAATGCAGTCTTCAGTATTTTCTTACATGTTTTTCTTGCTTTTATCATCAACAAGGAGGTAATTCTTAGTTCAGTTCTGAGGTAGGTACAAAACCACATCAGTTTTTCAGGGGAGGAAACATGTTAAAGTCCATCATCACAGAAGATGCAACATCTTTTCTGGAAGATTGCCTTAAGAGAGCTTCAGCCCCACACTTGGACATGTTCTGACATAGTAACTTGTTCTAAAATTTTCAGTTTTTAAATCGTAAATGGCCCCAGCACATTGGTTAACTACAGATGAAAGCTCTGCCTCCTACCATTTACCTATACACTACTATAGTGAATGTCCCGAAATGGTGTGCTGGTAGGTTGTGCATGAGTAGTATAGAGCAGAGGAAGATACTTGTTTTAAAAACTATAGCTTTTGCTGGAAAATAACTGGTTTTCTCCAGAATGAGTGAAGTGATGATCAAATTCTATAACTAATTAGGACTTCTTTTCCACATATTTGCATTTGAGAGCTTCAAGAGGTGCTGTTAAAAATATGACTGGAAACATTTTGAAGTGGGGGATATGTTAGGGCATAAAAAAATAGAAACGATGCCATAAGCCTGATTGTCCAAGAAGTGCCCTCATTTGACTTGCTTTTTGTAGTGTGTGTGTGTGTGTGTGTGGTTGGTTGGTTGGTTGGTTGGTTGGTTGGTTGGTTGGTTGGTTTAGAAGTACACGTGGTTCAAAAACCTGGTTTGAAAAAAAAAAAAGGAAAGAAACTTGGTTTGATCTTCATTTCTTGGGCTGGACTTGTTAGTTGAAAATAGGTTACTGAGGTAGATGAATTTTATCATTGCTCTTGTGCTTCCAAGTTTGGGATTTGAATTTTCCTTGGTAGCCCATGCATTGTTGTGGCCTGGTCAGCCTTCCTCTCTCCCTGCACTCCTTTATTTCCCCTTTCACTACACTTTATTTCTCATTTGGGTTCAGTGAAGGGCTCAGGACTACAGTTGGCGATTTCAGATGGACCGCACCGTAGGGGTTTATTGTTCTTTTGAGCTGGCTGTATATATTTAAAAATTGTAAGTAGATACTATATTATTTTTTTGCACAGTATGATCAGTTTGCTCAGAATCAGAGCAGGGGTGGGGGGACATTTGATGTGTTGGGGCCAGGAAGGGACAAGTCAGATAAGGACAGAGTGCTTCAGTCCCAGGCAGCCCACACAGCCACCTATTTTCTATTGAAAATATCAAATGTGGTTACATTACTTTAGATGGCATTGAATTGGAACTTGACAGCACTTAGTCCTGCAGACAACTGATCTTAATTGAAAATTTTTGGAAGGGAAAAACTAAATTAAAAGTCAAACTTACTGATTCTTATCCCCGAGTATTTGGAGAATTAGAAATTGCATGTGCCCAGATGGCTGCTGTCCCTTTAGTAGCCATGACCTTAATCCAGGCCCATGAGAAGATAGACACTCTGATTTGTGGGCAATGTATTTATATGTGTGTGCTCACTCATCCGTTTTGTCTCAGCAGGATAGAATAAGAAGAAGCAAGTCCATGAATTGTTCTTCTATTTATATTTTGATTCCAAAAGCTATTTGTTTACTTGCCAGGGTCTGTTAATTTCAGGCCTAACTTAATGGCTCAGTAACAGATGTAACAAATGTAAATGTGTTTACATTTTTAAAAAGTATACAGTGATACTAAGAGATCAGCTGATTAACTCTGGGAGGCAAATATTAGACTATACATTTCTTTACTTCTCTTCTAATTCAAGTGTAGAATTCTTCCAAAAGAGAAACTGTAAGAATTAAACCCTCACCAAGTGAATTCATGAATTTACTTATTCTTCTGTATTGCAGTTACCATTATGTAACTATATAAACATAGCTCTACACATGTACAGCTACAGATATAGTTGTATAATGAAATTTGGAAACACCTAAATTGAAGAGATTTTTGGCAGTGTCTATATAGTTGAGTGTTATGAGTATAGAGAGAGCATGGGGGTGAGGTTTGGAGACATACAGAAAAAAAGTAGTTGTAAACTCCATGATCTGAAAAGAGTTTATATTAAAACAAATAAAAACATTACTCTTCTTTCTTTGTCCTCTGAAATGACTGCAGTGGATACTCCTAGTCAGCCAAACTTTTTTTTTTTCTTTGATTAAATTGGCATTCCCCACCCCCACCCCCCACCCCCCACCCCCGGTGGTCTTTAGTCGGGAAACAGAGCTAGATCTCCCAAGTACATTCAGATCTTGTATATATATATATATATATATATATATATATATATATATATATATGGAGATTTTTAGAAAAATGAACAACCCAGTACCAGATGCAAGTCCCATGGGTGTCCCCCCAAAACACCAAAACAGGTGTATCCTTTCCTTCTCCCCATCTTGCTTTACCACTGAGTAATGCTCTCTTTAAGTGTGTACAAAACTGAATGGATTTCTGCCATCTAATATCTTTCAAATGCATTACTTCAAAATTCTAATTTTGTCTCTATTGGTATGTCTTATTAACATCTGAAAAACATATTTTATTGGGAAACTACAGTTTGGTCGGCCTTGAGAGTTTTGTGACAGTTTTTTGCTCTTGTCACCACAATCACTGACTCCTTTATGGCATGCTTTGATTATTAGACTTCAGGCAGTCTTTTCTGTTGTATCATATTTATACACAGTAAATTTTTCTTTCCATGTGTGCTATATGTCTGAGGTTTCGAAGTTTTTAATAAAAAGTGTGCCAGTATGAGTAAAAGCAGTTGATTTTAGAATATTGGACTTAAAGTACATTAAGAGGTTCAAAGTATAGGCGAATTCACTGGTGAAACAATAGAGGGGATGAGGGTCTGAATCAAGACCCAAGTTCAATAGGTCAAATGCCAAAATAAGAGCAATCAACTGACCTGGCCTGTTTCAAGAACAGAGGGGATGCAGGGAGTGAGACCACACACTTCTCGTCCCCAAGGCTTCCCTCCCTCTCTGAGCTTGCCCTTCCATCCCAATTCCTCTGGCCTGTTGTCAGTGTTGTTTACTATAGAGAGGAAAACCGAAGGAAGGGTCCTACACTTTGCCTAATTGAGCCACTACCAGATTTGCTGGCAGCTTTGGCCACATTATTTGTGAGGTGATTTTCTTTCTTTGTGTTCAGAGTGACTTGATTCTGATTCTTTATGTTGTTTCGTATGGAGCGGCACTTTATCTGTGTTTTAGCAGAACTGTTCCTCTGTATCCTTTACGGTTTTTCCTTATTTTTGTTTCCTTTTAAATTATGCATAGAGTTTTGTGTGTGTGTGAAATTAAAGCCTTTATTAACCTTGTGTTGTTTCGCCTGTTATTTCCGGAAAGGACATAACCTTTCAGACACTTAACCATTGGTTGAGGTTGTGAAATCACTTTCTGTTGGCTTTCTAGTTTGGACTTCCATGCAGCAGCATCACACCTTAGAGGAAACGGAAGGGCAGACAGCCACATGGCTGGAGTCCACACCGAGTTCTCGTTTTCACTGGAGGAGCCCGTGAAGCTTTGCAGAGGTCCTGGATGACAGTTTTAACTTGGCATTGGGCTTAGCTAAGCTCTTCCTTTGCCTTATTGGTACCAGACGGGCATGAAACGGCCTCCAATAGAGACATACCCAGTGGGTATGTTGCTTTTGCTGGGAACCAGTTAGTGTGAAACTTCCTAACTGGGCCTTTTCCCAGGCCATTCAGTTCTTGCAAAGGAGTCCCCTTTAATTTGTCGCCTAAATCAGGAAAGTATGTGAAAAGGAAAAGCCATTACTCTGGGAAAGATGTAAAACTGCAAAAGCTTCAATCCACTCTTCTTAGATATAAATTAGCCACAAGAGAGGAAGACCAAGGGACCCTCAGAATTCAAATGTTTTGTGGAGTGTTTGCTCTTCCAAGAAGGGAAAAGTCTGAACAGGATGATTAAAGTGATGTTAACACCCAGGATCGAAACAATGTGACCAGCTTCTTAGCTGAAATTGAGACCATAGTCTTCTTAGGGAGGTATCATTCTGGAAGTATAGCTAGGTTACTAAATAAAAGTGGCAGTGCCACAGACAGCCACTCACAGGTAAAATTTCACTTCAATTAGTACAGGACTAATAGGCCAGTCATGAAAACAATGAAACCGCAAACAAGATAGGGGACTGCTCTCCAACCACAACCATTCCTGCTTCTCAAAACAGGCCTTTTTCTTTCTTGAGGTTTTGTTGCTTCCATTTAGGGAGGGCAGAGAAGGCCGTGGGTGTCATTCCCAAGACCTTGGTGAAATCCTCGACAGACAGGTGCTCCTAGAAGAGAGGAACCAGAAGGCAATGGTCACCTTCCCCCAGGGTTTACTTTGATAAGTCTTATAGGTGTGGTATAGGAACTACATGAGGGGCAAAAGCAGGTAAGGTCAGGAGAACCAGGATGGTTGGGGAGGAGTCAGGTGACACGTGAGGTCTAAGAAGTTTGATCCCTGAATTTGGAATGTGACCAACATGAGGTAGATTGAGCTCCTTTAAAAAAAAAAAAAAAAATTGAGCTCCTTTTGACAAGTGCACCCTAACACCCTAGCTCTGAAATAACTAGGACATTTGACTAGCTTGCTTAAAGAATTGGCCAACTAAGAGAATGTTAGTTTTCCTCTATAAAATGGGAGAATAAAGGCCAATTTTGCTTCTTTGTAATGCTTTTATGGGGAGGAAAATGATACTACACAGGAAAGGGCACTGGAAACCAGTATCTTGTTCATCTGTCTTACTGAACCGTGGACCCAAGCGAGGGATCCTTTCTGTATCTGGCCCACAGAGTCAGCAGATGAGCCCCAGAAGGGAATCTACCCACGTCTGGGTATACAAGACTCTGCTGTTACACAGGAGGCCCAGCTCTGCTAGCAAGAGTCTGTGAGCCTGGGGAGGGGCTTGCCCTCCTGGGCCCCACCTTGCTGGAGATCAAGTGAGCAAGGCCGGCCACCCCAGCCCGAAGAGCAGAGCACGCAGCAGTCTGGCGCACATGTAGAGCTGCGGCACTTGCAGAAACACCTGGCTGTTCTGAGCGGAAGTGGATGACTCATCCTGGCTTCTCCCATCCTGTGAATGATCTAGAAGCTTAGCACAATTCTATCTACTTTTTTTGCTCTTAGTTTAGAGATCATGACCTGGAAACCACTTTCTAAGCCCGGGATATGCTGCTTCATGAAATGAAGGGCTTGCCTGAGATGACCTTTGCTCCCAGCTAACTCGATCATGGACAATACTGCTTAAGGCCAGCTAAGTGCCCTCAAGGCACATCGTGTGAGAACCCCAAATTGAAGCTGCTATGAAACAGCATCTCCCAGCCTTTACCTCTGCTCCCCAGGCCCCAAGAAGAGGACGAGGTAGTAAGAGCCATGGGTTATTTTCAATGTGAGCCCCCCCAACTGCCACCCCAGGGGAGTGCTTTATCCACTCCTGCAGAGAGTCCTTAATGAAACAGCTTGGAAAACATCTGTAGGTGGACCTCAAGCTCAGGTGGTCTGATGCCTCAGTTCTCTAACCTGAGCTTTTAGGTTTGCCTCCTGCCCCCGGGCATTTGCTCCTCAAGTTCCCTAAGAGCTCTGCCCCTGCCCTCCCCCCCCTTCCCCAGGCAGGGAAGAAGAGAGGAAAGGTGAGCGGTTAGAGCATCAGTGGCTGGGGAAGATGTGCCTACACCGAATTGGTTTGTAGCAAACTGCCACCCCAGGTCCTTCACCACTGGGGCTGCAGGTGCCCTCTCTGGCCCCAGCCAGGCTGGCTCCACAGCTTGGCTGCAACTTCTGGACTCTGACCCGGAGGGTAGATAGCAGGAACTGCCCATCCCAGTGGACTTGTATCTTTCCACCAGTCCTGCTGTTGGACTCTGTGGTCCTACCAGCTGATTACTGGCCTCACCCATACCCACATCCGCCTCTCTGTGGTTTACTCATTGGTACTCAGATTATCCTCTTGCTGCTGCCTGCAGCCAGGCCCACCACCCCACTCTTCATTGCCCCTGGCTCCCCGTCCGAGTTTGGAGCAGCCAGAGAGGCCTGAAGCCCTCTCCTACTCTCCCCACTGAACATTGAACCTACAGCTCTCCCACAAGTATGTATGTTATTCCCATGATTTAAAAAAAAAAAAAACCGGGGCACCTGGGTGGTACAGTCGGTTAAGCGTCTGAGTCTTGTTTCAGCTCAGATCATGATTTCAGGGTCTTGAGATCAAGCCCAATGTTGGGCTTCTCCCTGAGAAGAGTCCAGATTCTTTCTCCCTCACCCTCTGCCCCTCTCCACTGCATGCCCGTGCTCTCTCGCTCTCAAATCTTTTTTTAAAAATCAGCAACAGGGACACCTGGGTGGCTCGGAGGTTAAGCATCTGCCTTCAGCTCAGGTCATGATCCCGGGGTCCTGGAATTGAGTCCCACATCGGGCTCCCTGCATGAAGCCTGCTTCTCCCTCTGCCTGTGTCTCTGCCTCTCTCTCTGTGTTTCTCATGAATAAATAAATAAAATCTTTAAAAAAGAATCAGCAACAGACAACTGATTTTTTTAAAAAGAATCTTAGATTTTGTAGACTGTGTCTACCATGGTAGGGTTGTCTTGATTCTGTCTGTCCCATTCTAAATGCACCATCCCTTCGGCCCCCTATCAATCACCTGGTTCAATAACACTGGCTCCCCCTCCTTTCAGAAATACTTTGTGCCACATCACAAGATGGTAGCGGCAAGGCGGCAGGACTCCGAAGACCTGGTTCTTGCCCTGACTCTGCCGCTAAGTAGTTTATGTCAAGTTACATGGGGCAAGTCCCTTCCCCTCTCCAGTTTTCTCAGGCACTCATAAGAGAAGCTTACGTTTACAGAGCACTTGCTATGTACCAGGTGCTGGGCAAATAATATTCATAATATCACTGTTACCAAAAAATATATTGGGACCATCCCATTATTCCAGCAAGGACACAGATGGGTACATCTGGGAGAGAATGCATGGACTGGTCTCCAAGGTGAAGGGCAGGATGCAAATGCTCTGGGAACAATACACTTAAACATGTATCAGGCCCATTTCTTGGAGAAATCAGGCATCTCTGTTCTGTGGACTCTTTAATCCATTAGTAACACTTCTTTACGGTTTCTTATACCCAGAGTGCATTTTTCCTCAATACCCACATCAGGCTAGATTTGCCATCTATTTTGGATCTTCACATAACGGGAACGAACAGACATTGGAACTGTGTTTTTAACAAACTCTTCTTACCATACTCTCTCCCCACAAGTGACCCAAGTGGGACCTGCAGTTGCAGCCACCAGAAGCACATCGCGCTGGGGTGCCTCTGAAGAGCCTGCCCACCAAATACACAGCAACTGCGATGTCTCCAGGCTGCCTCAAATGCCACAGCTACCACCAAACTCATTGTCCCATCTAAGCTCTGCCCCAGAGGTGTTTCTTTTTCATCTCAGGAAATGACACAACTGCACCCCCCACACACTCCTTTCATCAGTAATTACCAAGTGCCATTGACTTTACCTCCTAAATATTTCTCTAAACCATCTCCTGTCCTCCGCTTCCCCAGCCACCGCCTATTCTACGCTCCCGTCCACCACTCAGCCTGCCTATAGCTGCTGCTTCTGCCACCTTCCAGTCCCTTTTTCACTGAGTAGCTATAGTGATCTTTTTTATTTAAGGTTTTATTTTGGGGGTGTCTCAGTCTGTAGAGAGTGTAACTCTTGATCTCAGGGTGGTGAGTTCAAGCCCCATGCTTGGTGCAGAGATTACTAAATAAATAAATAAATAAATAAATAAATAAATAAATAAATAAATAAATAAATAAAAAATCGGGTTTTTTTCTTAATATTTTAAAACTTCTTAAAAGTAAACTTTTTAGGGCAGCCTGGATGGCTCAGTGGTTTAGCGCTGCCTTCAGCCCAGGGCGTGATCCTGGAGTCCCGGGATGGAGTCCCACATCAGGCTCCCTGCACAGAACCTGCTTCTCCCTCTGCCTGTGTCTCTGCCTCTCTCTCTCTCTCTCTCTCTCTCTCTCTCTCTCTCTCTCTCTCTCTCTCATGAATATATAAATATAATCTTTAAAAAAAAAAGTAAACTTTCTAAAAGTTCAGTCTACCAACTGAACCAGCCAGGTGCCCCTATAGCGATCTTTTAAAAGCTTAAACTCGACTGCCACTCCCCTGCTCCTACCATGATGGCTCCTGTCTACTTTGGACAGGCACCACGTTCCCCAATGTGGCGTAGCAGGCACTGCTCCCTCGGGCCCCCAGCCCCCTTGCCTGCTGCTCCCCAGCTCCGCATCCCACAGCCAGCTGGCTGCTCTGCTTATTCCCTGCCTCTGGGCTTCGTGCTTGCTGTTCCCTTCTCCAGGAATAATCCATTTGCCTAAATAATTCCTGTTCCCCTTTCAGAAGGCAATCTTCTCTCCCTAAATCAGGTTCTTTTTTGGAATACTCTTCATGGCACCTGTACTTCACCTTTGTGGTCCTTATCTTTTTTGTGTGTGTGTGTGGCCCTTATCATCACTGAAGTTAAATGATAGTGTAACCAGGATCCTTTGAACCCACTGTCCTCACTGAGCTGTGATCTCACATAGAGGTGAAGACCAGTTCTGTTGTGTTCACCAGGGCACCCCCAGCACCTAATCACCTGCAGGGCACAGTCAGGGCTGGGGGTCGGGGAAGGGCAATTAGTGCTGTCCAGCAAATGGCAGCCAGCTCTCCTCCTCCTCCTCCTCCTCCTCCTCCTCCTCCTCCCCCTCCTCCTCGTCTGACGTACCTCCTTCCTACTGGGGTCTACACCCTCAGGGAGCTCCTCCACAGACTTGTTCACCAGCTGCTCCAGGGGAAAGATGGGTAGAGGCCCAGAAATGAGGCTGGTGTTAGCCGTGAACATGTTCGGCTTAGGTTTGGTGATCTCCTAGGGAAGAAAAGGAAACCACTAGTCAATTCGACTGGTTTGTGATGACCTCCAAGGCTGCCTTCTTCTCTGGAGTCAATACTGATTCTAGAGCACCTCCTTCAAGAAGCCCTCCACAGCCCCCACCGCCCACCCACCTGCATGTACACAGTCCTCACAAGAACACACCATTCCAGCGGACCTGTGAGCAAAACCTTGCTGGGTTTGTACCCAACCAAAGCCAATGGGTGGAAGGTGATTATGTTGTTCTATGATTTCTGAACTTCTCCATGGCTTCCCACAGATGTCTGCGGTCCACCTTGGGCATTTATGGGCCTCTTTCTCTTATCTGTCATGAAACTGTCATCAGTCAACTCACTTAGCCTTGACCCATCTATGCTTTTCTGCCCAAAGTATCTGTCCACCATGAAGGGTTTATTGAGTGTGCAGGTGTTCAGCCTGCGGGTGGGGCCAAGAAGCCCGCATTATCTACTAATGACCCCAGCGTGCTTGTGAAACTGCTCTCGTGCCCTGGACACATTTCTACAGAGTCTACTTGGTCACGCCTCCCCTTGCCAGCCTGCGAACTTCTGGAAGGAAGGGCTTTGCTTTCGGATTTCCACATCCTAGGCCAACAGGCTCGATGTGGTTCTATTAACTAGGTGAGAGGCCACAGGTCTGGAGAGGGGACCCCAGGGTGACCAAGGCAGACAAATCATTCTTTTTCAAAGTGTAGCCCATGCACTAACTAACAAATCACCTGGCTGTTCGTTTACAATAGGCATATTCCTGGGGCTCGTCCCAGTTCCACACACCAGAATTTGGGGGAGTGAGTGGGACTTTGGGATCTGTGTTTTAACCAGCTGCACCCCCCTTGCTCCAAGCTCCCATCACCCAGACTCTTCTCTTAATGCACCATCATACTAGGAAGTGGAAGAAAAAAAAAAAAAAAACAGGCTTCGAAAGCTCGAAGTTAAATAGGGAGAAGCGGGGATCCCTGGGTGGCGCAGTGGTTTAACGCCTGCCTTTGGCTCAGGGCGCGATCCTGGAGACCCAGGATCGAATCCCACATCGGGCTCCCGGTGCGTGGAGCCTGCTTCTCCCTCTGCCTATGTCTCTGCCTCTCTCTCTCTCTGTGTGACTATCGTAAATAAATAAAAAAATAAATAAAAATAAAATAAATAAAAATAAATAGGGAGAAGCACTTTCCTGAGCCGTGGGAGGACATGGTGGAAAGGAAAGCTGGGGACCCTGCTATCGTTGCTAGAGCTTTCTCAGCTCCCGTGGGGCTGCGCGTCGTCAGCCTGCCACCTCCCTATACTCACATCAGTGATCTGGCTCCAGTCCTCAGGGCTTTGGAGCTCCGCCTTCAGGTCCTCATAGGATTTGGTGTTCTGCACATAAAGTAAATAACAAGTTAGACCCGGCTCTCAGCAGAGGAGATGGAAGAATTTTTTTCCTTCCGGGGGCTAAAAGAAGGCTGGTCTCAGTCCTGGGGGTGGGAAGGGGAAGAGGGGGCCAGGGCCAGGGCCTGGGCCTGGGCCTGGGGGAGGGACCCCGAGACAAGAGGCTAGATGGGGAGGATGGGCACCCACAGGGCACTGGTCAGCAAAGGCCCCCCTCAGCCCCATGTGGGGATGGAGACCACCCTCAGAGGCGGAGCGAGCAGCCACATGCAGCCTGGAGAAACTGCCTCCCTGGTGGGGGCTCTGGGGACCACAGGGGTCTCCTCCCAGAGCCTGGAGGGGACCCTACCGCAGAAAGGTGAAGGCGTAGAAGGGACCTCAGTCATCTCCGTACACCAGGGGCCTGGCCCCACATGGCATGTCATGACTGCAGTTGCGCTGACCCAGAGAGAAGCCAGCGAGGACTGGAGGGGGGGGAAGGCCTCCAGGGTCGACACCGATATGAATTTAAGAAGTTCTGGCATCGGGGCACTGGGTGGCTCAGCGACTGAGTGTCTGCATTTAGCTCAGAGCGTGATCCTGGGGTCCTGGGATCGAGTCTCACATTGGGGCTCCCTGCGTGGAGCCTGCTTCTCCCTCTGCCTGTGTCTCTGCCTCTCTCTCTGTGTTTCTCATGAATAAATAAAATCTTTTTTAAAAAATAAATAGAATCTTTTAAAGCATCTTCTTAAAAATAAATTAATTAAAATAATAAAGGAATAAATAAAATCATTAAAAAAAGAGTTCTAGCATCTAGATTTGCAGCCTTGAGATTTGTTTCATCTCTCCTCAAGCCCATCAACCACTGAACAGATGCCTTCAAAAAACGGTTCCAAGGAAATGAATCTAAGCTCTGTTTCCCTAAACTCATCCGTTGTGCAAATTTTCGTGCACCCAAAGCCACCGGGCCAGCACTCTCCACCTTAGCCTTCTCTCGTCCTGCAGAAACCTTGCACAGGCTTCCATCCTGAGGACCCTCCTTCTGCTTCTATGTGCGGCCAGTTCAGGAAAACCCTGTGAAAGTCTGACTCACTGTCCCTCAGGGAAGGGCCACAGGTATGACCCATTTTGCTTAGGATGTAGTGCCAGCAAGACATTTGTCTGTCCTCAAGAACTGACGTGTCATTTCATCTGGCTTGAGGATTCGCCAGCACTGTCTCCGAGAAGTGTCTACAGAGATGGGAATGTTCCTTCTCTGTGCCGTCCAAATGGGAGCCACCAGCCGCAGGCGGCTATGAAGCACCTAGCTTCGGGCTTGTGAGAAATGGAATCTTTGATTTTGTGCAGCTTTAATTTAACTGGTCAGTACGGCTCTTAGCAATAATGTGCAGCAGCCTTGAATTAAGTCTGGTACACAGGCAAGGCCCCGTCATCAGCCTGGGGGTTGACAGATTGCCTTCCTCTCCCGCACCAGGGGGCCTAATGGTCTCACACAGCCTTCCTCCTCACTCGAGGCCCCCTTGGGCCCCTTTAAAAATTTATCACTGGGGATCCCTGGGTGGCTCAGCAGGTTGGCGCCTGCCTTTGGCATGGGGCGCGATCCTGGAGTCCTGGGATCGAGTCCCACGTCGGTCTCCCCGCATGGAGCCTGCTTCTCCCTCTGTCTGTGTCTCTGCCTCTCTCTATGTCTATCATGAATAAATAAATAAAAATTAAAAAAATAATAAACATTTATCACTGGTCCTCTCTCAGGACGAACAGAACAGCCTGGGAGTCCGGCCTGCCCCCGGGGGTGTGCACAGGGGCCTCCCGGAGAAGGCCGTAAGGATGAGGGCTGGCCGGCCACTCACACTCCACTTGAAGGGATCCCACGCCAGGAACCAGCCGGTGAAGGTGGAGGGCTCGTATCCCTGCTTCACCACGATGATGGGGGTGTCGGGGTCACGGCCGCTGGGGTGGGTCTTGAGATACTCCTGTGCCGTGACGGCTGCGGCTCTCTTCTCCTCCTCGTTGGCATGCTTCCCGATCCAGAAGAAGACCTGTGGATAATGCAGAGTGTGGGCAGCCCTTCCCGTTCCCCCTGGCCCACCGGGCTCCGATGGCTGAGAGTGGGGCTAAGTGACCTCAGGCAGGCCCCATCTGGTCTTGACTCTGCAGCTAGGACATGAACAGGTTGGACAGACGCCCTCTGCTTGGATAACCTGCCAGCATGAGTCCCAGCCTCTCCAGAGCCACCAACCTCAAGAACATGCTTCTGCCATGTGACAGAGGTGGGGCTTTGGGAAAATACATCTTGCCCCACAGCCCCTTTGGGCACATTCCTCCCCACCTGCCTCTTTCTTCCTTAGTCTCCTGTTCATAATCCCACACCCAGTAAGGATTAATAAGGGAGCCGAGACAGTGTCAGACCTTGCCTGTCCCTAAAGTCACCCTTTCTCGGCTGGATGGAGCTGGTGGGAAGGGAGGTCTTCAGGCCTCAACCCTACCTGGTCCCAGACATCTAGCAGGAACACATCGTCCTCTTCCAGGTCATCTTGATTGAAGTCGGGGATTTCTGTGGCCAGGAAGCGCCCGGTCTGGTTGGAACATTCAAAGAGCCGGGGCGTGATGGCCAGGGTTTCCTCCTGCAATCTGCAGGATGGAGACAAAATTGTGTTGGCAAGAAGGCAGGGAAAAAAGAATCGAGGACACAGAACTCCTACTTGGAAAGCCCAACTTCTGGGAAAATGCTCTTTTTTTCCTGATCCCACAAAAAGTGCCCCCCTCCTCCCCAAGAGTCTAAGAGTGCTCCAAGGGAGAAACCCCCACCGCCTTTCCAGGGCATGCATTCCAGAAGCTCTTCCTTAGGCCCGTTGGGAAGTTCTTTCTGATATCTTCCTTCTAGACCTCCGACAGTAGCAGTAGGAGGCCTAGAACTACTAGGCCTCAACACTAAAGGGCAGGGCTCCGGCACCTTTTTCCCAAAGGGCAAGCCCTGTCCCTCTCTTTGAGTTGCTTCCTACTGCCATGAACTCCATTTGCCAAGAAAACATGTCCAACAGGCCCCAGGCATACCGCACAGACACAGCCCCTGTGCCCAAGAGGCTCTGAGGGCATGGGCTACCCCTTACTCGTCTTCCAGCCCCAGGGACCTGGTACCCAGAGTCCACAGTCCATGCTTGCTGCAGGCTCTGGGCCATGGGATGGAGGTGCTAGGAGGCTCTCCAGCCTCAGGTCGTGAGCTGGAGGCAGAGGGTCCCCATAGTTACCTCTTGGTGTTGGCATAGGGAGCCTTTCCACCCAGGGCTACCCAGAAGTTGGCCGGCTCCTGCCCTTCCACCACCACTTGCTTCTCTGTCCGGGAGATGGTGTCAGCAACCATCTTGGCCATCTCCCGCTCATCCCCACTGCAGCCCTGGGGAGTGAAGGGGGTCAGCTGTGTGGCAGCTCTACTGCCACACCGACCGCCACCCTTCCATCACATTCACTGGCCCAGAGCTCCTCGTCCAAGACGGCCCTTCTGCCTGTATCAGGACCCCGTGCACACCCCTCCTCTGTCCTCGACACACCAAAGAATGGCAGAGAGGACAGGAGTTGCCCGCTCCTTCAGGACGGGAAAAGGGAGGCTGGCTAGAGGCCACTGGGAAATGAGCCAGACCTACTGGCCAGAGGCTCCCCCGAGGCCCGGGGACCCCTAAGACCCCCTCGGGGAGGGGGAGGCTACCAGGCCCCACACACACCTTCCCGCACCACAGGTAGCAGCAGGACTGGGTCTTAAGGATGAAGACGTCATTGGAGTTGAGGGAGCTGGCCCGGGGCTGGACCTCAAAGGCCTTGGTGTTGTTGGCGCTGGTTCCCTGGACCTGGAACAGCCGTGTGGAGGGCACTGGCTCCTGTGTGTTGGCCCGGGAGGTGCCTCCCTGAAGGGTGTGGGGAGAAGGCAGAGAGAGAGACAGACAGAGAGCAACTTAGTGCAAACAACAGAAGATACGAGAAGGACACAGAGAACAGAGCAGAAGAGAGGCTGGGGTGGGGCTGCCTGCCCCCAGGTCCTGACGTATCAGCACCAGACTAGCCTTTGAAGACATTGCTTTGGTCACGGCACAGCCCTGCTCAGAAATCTTCAGTGGCTCCCCAGTGCGTATAGGCTACAACCCGCTCCTGAGCCCAGCCTTTGAAGGCCCCACAGGGCGCAGGTGCAAATGACCCTTCCAGACACTCGGCTGTCTCCAGACCCTGGCGTTTAGCTCGGCCAGGCTTCTCACTGCTCCGTGTGGACCGCCCCCTGGGCCTTTGTCCTTGCTGGTGCTCCTGCACTGCATGCCTCATTTTACCTCTGCTGAGCTCTTCAACTCTGACCCTGACGTCAAGGTCTCCTCCAAGCCCCCCTTCTGCCAGGAACTCCCCGCCTGCCCGGCCTCTCGGATTCCCTCTCCTGCCCTGTAAGGGCGCAGGCTCCCATTCACGCCCCTCTGTGGACTCAACCTGTGTGTCTGGGTTTAACCACATGGTGCCTCAGGCTGTTAGTCCGCTGCTGTCCCAACAAGACAGGCAACAGGAATGCGTGGCCCGTTCCTGCCCTGGCACTTTGCGGAGGCCGCAGGCTTCATAGGGGCTCCGTAAACAGATGATCTCTTAAATGAGTGCGGGACATGCCTATGCCATTATGTTAGAGGGCACGACGCAGTTTGGGCAGGCTCATGGCTTGGGCAAATCCAGCCAAACGAACACCCGTTCTCATGTAGAGGATCCAGGGAGATGGGGTGCAGAGACTAACGGTGCTTGCATACCCTGTGTACTCCTTGCATGTTCTTAAAGTCCTGAGAGGTTGTTTGTCTTGCCAGTTCCATGTACGTGGTGGGGCCTCAAACAGTCCTGTCCCACCAAGGATGGGCTTCACCCCAGGCCCGCCCCAGGCCCTTGCCCCATCTCCTGGTGCCTGCCCCACTGCGATTGCAGGTACCGCCAGGAGCCTCGGGCCAGCAGCCACACCTGGTAAACCACCATTTGTCCCTTGAAGATGGCCATGAGGTGTGGTGGCTCCTTGCCCATCGGGACCCGGATCTGGACCGGTTCGTTGTTGTACTTCTGGTCTAGGGTGACGGCTTGATAGGCAGAGGCTGTTATTTCATCCTGGCTGGCCTGGCTACCCTGGGGACAAGCACAGTGGAAGGGGAGGGGGCCCCAGTTGGCCCGGTTCTGAGCCCGTCCCTGGCCGCGGCAACAACCCCATCCCCGATTCTCAACTGGCCCCAAAGCAACTGTCTGCCCCTCCAAACAGTGCCCTGGACATGGCCCAAACCCAACCCGACCCAGACCGAGTCCTTTCCCAGCTCACCTGCCCCGCACCCTGCCCTCCGCCCTGACCCCTCCTCTTCTTCTTTTTTATTTATTTATTTATTCATGACAGACATAGAGAGAGAGAGAGAGAGAGAGAGAGAGAGGCAGAGACACAGGCAGAGGGAGAAGCAGGCTCCATGCAGGGAGCCCGACATGGGACTCGATCCCAGGTCTCCAGGATCACACCCTGGGCCGAAGGTGGACGCTAAACCGCTGAACCACCCGGGCTGCCCTCCTCTCCTTCTTACTTGGGACAACACTGTGGCTACCACACCGCTACCCCCAGCACCCACACATCTCCCTGCTCACTCATATCTGGACACAGAAACTCACAGTGCTTTGAGCACAGGAAGGGAATGTTCTGGAAGCCATGGACATTGGAAGAGAGGATCCATGAACCCAGAGAGGGGGAAGGGTTGTGAATGGGGGTACCCCGTGCCAGTGGGATCTCATAGCCAAAGGAGTCTCACTATGAAAAAGGGGTGAGCTCCCCATCACTGGAGGTATTCAACTCAAGAGTCGTGGCCACTTGGCAGGGGTATAGCAGAGTGGAAGCCAAGCTGGTGGTGTTCTGGGCAGGACTGGGTGGGGCCTGACCTGCCAAATGTAGAGCAAGTAGTTCTTCTTCTCGCCAATGAGGTAGGTGTAGAGCAGCAGGTAGCAGTCACCCCCGTAGAAGTGGCCTAGCCACTTGGACTCCACCGGCACCAGCTCCAGGTTCTCAATGCGCCACACCTGGGGTGGGTAGCAGGCTGGCATGAGGGCCGGGACAGGTTCCGCTGACCCCTCGCCCCCCGGCCCGGCCTCCCCCGCTCACCGTACCTGCACCTCCCCGCTCCCGTCGTCCACCATCTTCTTCTGGGCAGCCACCTGAGGCTGGACATGCATGGATGTGGCATCAAACTTCACTTGCTCCACCTTGGCTGTAGTGAAGGGGAATCGCGACAAGCTTGTCACAAGCTGAGGGCCCCCAGGTCCTCACAACGGCCCCGAGTGACAGCTACAATTCTTAGATCCCTTTTCTGGATGGGGAACCTGAGGCCGGCGAGGTCGGCTAGCTTACCCAAGGTCGCAGGGCTAGAGAGCGGCAGTCTTACGGCGGAACCCCATCTCCCGCCCCCCCCCCAGCCTCAGGCTTCTGCAGGGCCTCCCAGGGGAGCCCAGGGAGGAAGAGCCTGTTTATCCTCTTCCAGTGGCCCCGGTACTCAGTTTGCCTTCAGCAAACATTGTGTGGCGAGACACTGACGCTGTCTGCTTTCCAGGGCGACAGCCCTATTCCAAAGGAAAGACAGGTGCTTGTCAGCTCCCTTTGAGTGACAGCCCCAAGGAAGGGAATGCAGGATCCCTCGTATCATCCCCCCCACCCCGCCCCGAGGAGCTCAGAGCCAGGGCGAAAGATCACATGCAGGGGGGACAGGAGGCAGGTGCAGGTGCTCCCCCTGCCCTACTCTGGCTCCTGACCCCACCCTGCCTCAGGCCAGGCCTCACCCACGGAGCCCACGGTGTGGGTTTTGCCCAGGCCTGAAGTCCGATTGGGCAGGGTCCATTTCTGGAAGAGCTGCTGGAACACAGCTGACTCGGCCCCATCATTCTGCACCTCCACCTGTGTGCTGGGCGGGTACTGCTTTGCTTTGATAAAGTTCTGGGAAGAGAAAGGGGGTGGGTGGGTCTGTGTCCCTCTCCGAACCCCCCCAGACCCCCTCACGGCATGCCGCAGCCTGGCTCTAACCCCAACCCCACCACAAACCTACACCTTGGTCCCAAGCCCAAACTTGAACCCAACCCCAGTCCCAGTGCTGACCCCAAAGCTAAACCCTGCTTGGCCCCAACCCAAAAACCCAACGAGATCCCAACCTTGACCCTACCTCAATTCTAACCCCATTCACCAGCTGCCATCTCCAAGCTTGAACCCAACTCCCATTCTATCGCTGACCCAATGCCAACTCGGACTTTAGCCCTAATAATGACCCCAAACTCCGACTTGCCCCCACCCAGCCCCCTGTCGACCCACTTCTCTGTTGCGGAAAGTACAGCCTCCAATTCTCCCTCTTTCCTCTGAACCGAGATGGAGGTGGGAGCTCCCATCCTGAGGAGGCTGCGAGGTTGCCTGGTGGTTGGCCCCCCGGCATGCAGAGAACCCCCAAGACGGACAGAACTGACCCCTGCACCCCCAGCCGGGTCAGGCCCAGGGCTTCCCAAGGCCCCCGCCTGGCGCCACACGTGGTCTGACCCCATCCCTTCTCCCTGCCTATCTGTTCGTCTCCCTCGCCTGCCTGACCCCATGCCCACCAGTGCCTGGTTCATGGCTCCCGTCTTCTCCTGGGCGTTGGCCCTCTTCCCCTTCCACACGTAGATCTTCAGGCCCCCCTGGTCCAGGATATAACAGTCCTAGAGGTGGGAGACAAGGGTGACGCAGGGTCGGGGCCCGAGGGCGCGGTCGGCGCTGGGCCACGGGGAGGGGGGCAGACACCAAGGTGCCTCCAGGGCCTGGCCTTGCTCCCACCTGGGGTGGGGTGAGCAGGGTGCAGCAGGATGGGAGTCGGGGCTGGGGGTCCCCAGGCCCTCTCACCTCGTGGCTGAGCAGGTCTTGGGTGAGGGGCCTCGTGGCGACTTCTCGCACCACCAGCTTTCCCTCTGCGTCCGACACGCTGCGGGCCAAAGGCACAGCACAGGCTGGAGGTCGCACGCCGCCCCCCGGCGCCCTCCCCGGAGCCCCCTCGCCCGCGGGGAGCCCAGCTGGACACTCACTGGTACAGCTTGAGGGCGGCCTTGACCGCCGGCTCCACCTCGTTGTCCGGCACCGCCGCCCTCAGGGTGCCGCGCGGGCCCAGCACGTGGTTCATGATCTCCATCAGCTGCGGGGTGGCCTTCTCGTTGTCCCCCTCCACCACCGCCACGTAGGTCCGCCCGCCACGCTCCTGGTCTCGGATGTCCTTGGCCAGGGTCATGCCCTGCAGGGAGGCCGCGGTGACCCCGCGAAGGCTAGTGGGGCAGGGGGTAGGGGGAGCCGGCCCACCCCGCAGCGGCCCCAAGGGACGAGGCACCGTGAGGGGGGACCAGGCTCTTAAGGTGCGTGTGAGGGAACCGAAGCAAACCCCACTGGGAAGCAGGTTTCTCGGTGGCAAAAGGGTGTTTGGGGTGCACATGCTGGGCCTTCGCTTTTGACCTTGAAATTTGTGATTTTACTTCACAGTCTTGGACAAAAGCGGAGCCCTGGGTATCACAGTACTCAGTCTCTTTGCCCACGATGAGCTCGCCTGTGCACATACATGCTCGCACACATGTGCACACACACGCACCCATGGCTCCCCCTCCTCGGCCCCACGGCCCCTGCTCTGGGGACTGCCACTTCAGTCCCCAGCCCCAGTCCCGGGCCTGCTTCGTCTCTCTGTCACCAGCCCAGCTCTCTGCTCTCAGCTCATTTACCCAAGCCCCACGCCAACCCCATTTTATTTTATTTTTTTTCCAACCCCATTTTAAAGGTGCCCCAAACTGAACCCTGTCCCCCACAAGGCTGTTGCTCCTGGTCGTTCCCAATTCAGGAAATGGGACTCCAGCCCCTTCCCGGCTGCTCCAGCACAGCGCCCCTCTCTCCTCCACCCCGTTCACCACCCACGGAAGGCCGGTGGGTCCCCACCCCCTGCCCCCTGTCCTGTCAGGAGGGGCAAGGCACCTCCTGCCCTGCCCCGATGGCCACCGGGCTCCCTGCGTCCCCGCCACCCCTTGCACCCCTTCTCCATCAGAAGTCAGAACGCCCTTCAGACCTCCCAGGCCCTGAGAACAAAACCCAACCCAGAACACCCCCAAGAGCGAGACCCCTCTCCCCTCCCAGCTCCCTGTAATCTCCCCTGGTGCTCTGGCTGTGCTGGCAGGGCCCCCCCCCACACCGGCCACTTCCTTCTGCCTTAGGGCCCTCGCCTCCCCAGCCCACCTCCTCCCGGAAGCCTTCCCAGAACCCCCAGGGCCACGCTCACCCCTCACTTCTCAGCTGCTACCTTCCTGTCTGTCTCCCCTACCCAATGGCCAGTGGAGGCCAGAGCCAGGGCAGATGAGCCATGAGAACACATGCCAACCCTGACACGCGGGCCTCCACACACACACACACACACACACACACGGACACTCGGATCTACCTCTGAACATGCGGCCTAGGGTAGTGAGGTCTGGGGACCTGGGGGCAGGTGGGCTGGAGGGCGAGGGGAGGGGCGGGTGTGGGGGGCAGGTGAGGGCAGGGGGGATGGGGAGACGGGTGGTGCAGCCCCGCCTACCCTGAGTCTCTCCATGCGGTTGCTCTCCGGTCCGTTCCACTGGATAATGAGCTTCCCCAGGTCCAGGAGGAAAACATCCCCGCGGTTGAAACTCTTCCAAGCCAGCTCCACCTGGAGCGCCAGGGGGGAGGCGCAGTCAGAGACTTGCCCCAGGGCATCGTCCCTTCCCCGCCTCCTCCCACCCGCACCCCTCCTAGGCCTCTGCCCTCCACCCAGGAGGCCATGCCCCAGGGCCCTGGCTGGGGCCCACCTCTCCGGCCACCACGTTCCTCTTGCCCTTGACATGCAGCAGCCGCTGGATCTCGTAGGAGTTGGTCTCCACTTGCTTCATGCCGGAAGCCACACCCCCCTTCTGGATCCTGCGAAGAGAAGGAGCTAAGCAGGGATAGCCAGCGGGCGGGGGTGCATGACAGCCTAGGCAGCCGGCTGCATGGGGCCCTCTGAGGGCTGGCGCGGGACTAGGATGAGGTGCATGACATGCCGCAGCTGCAGCTTTGAGGCCCTTGCTCTCAAGGTCACACAAGTTCGATCTTTCGCCTGCATGCGCATGACCTTCCTCAGCCTCCTTAAAGTTTGCACCCCAGAGCCTTCCCTCCCCGCCCCTGTGGAAGTGTGAAAGGCCTGCGAGGACAGGGGGCTGAAGGGAAGGGGAAGAGGGGAGATGCTGTGGGCTGAACTGTGTCCCCTGCCAAACTCCTATGTTGAAGCCCTAACCCCAGGGGGGTGGGATTTGGACCTGGGGTCTTTGGGAGATTTTGATGAAGTTTAGATGAGGTCTTGAGGCTGGGGTCCCTGTGATGAGGTTAGAGCCCTCAAAGGAAGAGACTCCGGAGAGCTTGCTCACTCTCTTCACCGTGTGAGGACACAGTGAGGAGTGGCTGTCGGCCAGCCAGGAAATGGGTTCTCCCTGGCAACCAAATCAGCTGGAACCTTCGTGGACTCTCCAACCTCCAGAAGTGTGAGAACATTCATCCCTGTTGTTTAAGCTACTCGTTCTGAGGCATTTTGTTAGGGCAGCCCAAGCAGGCTAAGCCAGGAGAGGCACCAGCTCTAATGCCCCAAAGGGGTGGACTGTTGCTCTAAGTGTGAGAAGAAGAGGAGCAAGACAAAAGGGAGGGGTGAGGACTGTGGCTAAGTGAAGAGCTTCTGGCCTATCCTGCTGGTCAGGAGCAACTTGGCTCTTGAGTGTGTGTTTCCATGGGCAAAGCCCAGAGACCAGGTCTTCAGACTTTTCAGGAAAAGCTAGAAATCTGGGTGTTTAGTGTGAAAGCCCTGCTTTGGAGCATGGAGAAGCAGTCATTCGCCCACTGGCCATAGGAAAGACTTGATGTGATGCCCCGGAAGGCCTGCTTTAGCACCGGGCTCTCCAGGACATTCAAAGAGGGGGTGATTTACAAAACTTATTGTGCACAGACTTTCAGAATGGCCACCCAGAGGAATAAAGACCAAGGACAGGGCAGAAGCAGAAATGGGGGGTGGGGAAGCACAAAGAACAAAAGTCTCCCAGAGCCCATGGTAGGTCTCCCCACCCCAGAATGCCACCCTCTTGTGGCCCCAGCTCCGCCCCTCCCTGGCCCTGGTCCCCCGGCCCCCACCCGCCCCACTGGTGGCGTGCCCCTCCGTACACAATGCCCTGCTTGAAGTAGCCCCGGAAGGCCTCGCTCTCGTTGCCCTGGACCTCCCGGTGCTGGACGGCCCGGCCCTTCAGGAAGTCATCCATCTGTGTGGTGTAGATGGCAGCCGCCCCTTGCTCGTCCTGTGACGAGGCCTGGCCGATCCAGTAGTGGATGTCATAGGACAGATTGCTGCCAGTCTTGTGGATCTAGGGAGGAGAGCAGGTGTGCGGTGTGCCCGAGGCCCTGGCCTCCCACAGCCCTCTGCCCGCCTCCCTGCTTTGCATGGTTACCCACACACATGGGCCTGGGCCACGGGCGAGCTGGGTGGAGAGGGTGTCTAGTGCACGGCCCTGGTGGTCAGGAGCCCAGCGTACTGGCCCCAGCTCCGCCCCAGACTCTCTGAGACACGGAGCCAGTGGCTTTCCCCCTGGGTCTTGCACATCTCGGCTTGGAAAGCAGTTGGTGGCGGATAGCAGCACTTCCCCAAGTGATGTGCGGGCCCCATCAGAGGCGAGGTGCTCAGGTGGTGTGAAAACAAATGTGCATATGGAAGGATGATGTGAATGTTTTATAGGTGCTTTCTGTCTGTGACGTGGGACACCCCTTTCCGCTTAGGATAATGAGGCAGAGTTATGTTTTTAAAAATATGGATTTAAATTTGAAAAGTGAGTCAATATGAGGGCAAATACAAGCACATTAATAGTATAGATGTGGCCAAAACCGTGATGGTGATACAGAGGGGACTATGGATTTCGGAAACCTGGACTTGAGGTAGGGTAACATCCTACTGGCTCAGAGGGTCCCCAAGACTATAAACTCAAAGGAGTTCAGCTCAGGTGGGAGCTCAGGGAGCCAAGGGTGGCAAGAGCCTGTTCTATCTCTGGCTCTGCAGAGCCGCCAAAGGCCAGGTACCTTTTGGTACCTGGGTGGTATTTGGGTGGTACCTGGGTGGTACACCCAGCAGATGCTGTCCAGGGGTGGATCCAGCCAGCCCCCTTACCACCCTCAGCCTCAGACTGTCCCTCTGATGCCAGAGACCTTTGCTGTCCGCAGCCCTCCCGCGCCCACCCCCCGACTCACAGCCAAGACTATGTAGCAGTCACCGTCGAAGAAGCTACCGAAGGTGCTGGAAGGAACAGGAACCATCTTCATGGCCTAGGGAGAGGAAGGAGCTCAGAGGGGCTGCCCTGGACCACCCAGAACCCCCAGCTGCTCCGCTGCCCTTGACCCCAGGGAGAGGTCAGAGAGGGGGACAGTCAGGGAATCTCAGGCACCTCAGCCCGTCCCAACCTGCAGAGCCCCCCACCCCCCGACAGACCCCGGCAGGCCTCACCTCGATCCTCCATATCTGCACCCCGGGGGTGGTGATGTTGAGCGAGTTTTTGACTTGGGTGGTCAGTCTGGTCATGGCGGATGAGCCTGGAGAAGGGGGTGTGGGAGCAAGGGCTGAGGAGCTGGGGGCGGTTCAGGAGCTGCCCTTCCAGCCCAGCCCTGGAGAGCTCCCAACAGCCCGGAAGGCCAGGGCTCAGGGGCCCTGGAAGGAGAGGGGTCTCTCCCTACCCTGGCCCCCGAAATTGCGGAGGACCCGGCCTCCAGCCTTCCCACCCAGCTCAGGTCTTGTCCCTCTCTTGCTCAAACCCCTACCCTGACTCCCTATTACCCACTGAAGAAAGCCCCCCACTCTTTAACCCCAAACAATTTTTTTTAAAGATTTTATTTATTTATTCATGAAAGACACAGACTGAGAGAGAGAGAGAGGCAGAGGCACAGGCAGAGGGAGAAGCAGGCTCCATGCAGGGAGCCCGATGTGGGACTCGATTCTGGGACTCCAGGATCATGCCCTGGGCCTAAGGCAGGCGCTAAACCACTGAGCCACCCTGGGATCCCCCAAACAATTTTTCTTTTTGAAAATTTTTTTGCAGGGGATCCCTGGGTGGCGCAGCGGTTTGGCGCCTGCCTTTGGCCCAGGGCGCGATCCTGGAGACCCGGGATCGAATCCCACGTCAGGCTCCCGGTGCATGGAGCCTGCTTCTCCCTCTGCCTGTGTCTCTGCCTCTCTCTCTCTCTGTGACTATCATAAATAAATAAAAATTAAAAAATTTAAAAAAAAAGAAAATTTTTTTGCAGAGCCATGCTGGCTGGGGAAAAAAAAATCATACAGACTTAAAAAAAAAAAAAAGGAAAACAAAGAATAAATAAAGGCCAAAAGAAAAAACAGGTGTTCAAACAAAACCTTGTGCTTGAAATTCATAACAGCTCTAATCACAATAACCAAAATGTAGAAACAACCCAAATATCCATCAACAAAAGACGGCATATATACAGATCTATTATCTATATCTCCACAATGGAATATTCAGCCGTAAAAAAGGGATGAAGTGCTAATACGTGTCGCAACACGAATGACCCTGGAATACATTATGTTTCGTGGAAGATACTGGATACAAAAGGCCACGTGTTGTGTGAGTCCGTTTATATGAACCATCCAGAACAGGCAAGTCCATACCCATGGCAAGCGGATTAGGGGCTATCAGGGGCTGGAGGGAAGGGAGAGGGCAGAGCCTACTAGTGGGCCTAGAGCTTCATTTGGGATGATGAGAAAATCCTGGAACTAGACAGTGTGATGGTTGTAGGGCACAGCATCCTGACTGTCCTGAACGCCACTGACCTGTGTACTTTGGTTAAAATGCTAAATCTCACGTGTATTTTTTACAACAGTAGAAAAAAGCATACACAGCAGTTTCATGGTCCCGCCTCGCTATCCCTGGACACTGCTCAATCACTGCTCAGGTGGCTCTCAAGATCCAGTCCCCACAAGGGCGGGGACCCTGTTTGCTCAGTCCTGAGCCCCCAGCATCTAAAACCATGTGGGCACTTGGCGAGGTGGGTGGATGGGTGGGTGGATGACAGAGTGAACTCTCCCAGGGTGTACCAGCCTCCACCCACGGAGCTGAGAGAAACCTCGACTCCCCAAGCTGCTTTTGTGGTATCTTTTATGGCTCATTCCATTTTCACCTGTAGCTCTGGTCCCTGCTGCAGCTGCTCATCAGAATCCCCTCGGGAGCTTTTAAACACTACCAAGGCTTTGAGGCGGCTCAGGTCTATCCCCAGGGATTCTGATTTAATTAGGCTGGGTGGGGCCCAGGCCTGGGTACTTTATTTTCTGCCTTTTGGGAGGCGGAGCATGGGTGCTTTAAAATCTGCCCTGGGAAGGGCGCCTGGGTGGCTCAGTCAGGTAAGCGTCCAAGCCTTGGTCATGATCTCAAGGTCTTGAGACCAAGTTGGTCTCTGGTCACCATGCTCAGCTTGGAATCTGCTTCCCTCCCTCTGCCCCTCCCAGCTTGGGTTCTCTCTCTCTCTCTCTCTCTTAACTTTAAAACAAAAAACTTCCCAGAGACCCTGATAGGAGCCAGGATGGAGATTGGCTTGTCCCCAGTTACTCTCATCCCTGGTTTCCTGCCTCTCCCCATCAGGCTGGAGGCCACCCCCATTCCCGACCGAGCCCACCACCCCACCTGGCACAGAGTTTGCCCTCCAGGAAGGCTCCTTGGATACTCCTTGAATTGACAAGCAATAAATGAAAGGTCATGTGGCCCTGAGGGTCAGGCTTCACGCTCTGACAGCCTGGAACCTCCCTATCTAATCTCTCATGGCACCTTGACTCTGAGTCACCTCTTGGAACAAGGACCTGGCCCTTTACTGCTGGGAAACTCCCTCTTCTGCGTCCTGAGGGGTGACCTCTCTCCCTGGCTTTCTGGAGTTTGGGGCAAAGTCTCCCTGCCCAGCCTCTGATTAGCGCAGATTGGGGGACCAGAGCTCTGTGCCTGTAGGAACCCCTCCCTCACTGTGCTTGTAGGAGCCCCCCTGCGCCTGAGTCCTGTCTGATGCCCCTGTCTGCCGTGGCCCCTCTACGAGGGTTGCCAGGACTCCTGGGTCAGTAGGACCAATTCAGGTACAAAGGAGAAACCTGTTTCCTGTGTTACTTCATTTATCACCTTGGTCAACGTCTTCCTTTCTCCAAGACAGACTCTTTGGCACTCGCTAGCTGTGTGAACACGAACCCCGCTTCTTCATCTCTGGGTGGGGGGAGGGTCGGGTCAACTAGATGATCTTTAGGGACATGCTCTGATCCTGGGAGTGAGCAGCAAGAGGAATCGAGGGTGGACAGGAGGAGGCCCTTCTTGCTCATCAGATGCGTGGAGATTTGGAGGAGCAGGGACTTGAATAAGCCGCATGCTCCCTCCCTAGAGGAAACCCAGGATGTGGGGCCTCCAGCAGCCTGAAAGGGGAAGGTGGTGCCCCCACTGGCTGTGACGTGCAGGGGATCCTGAGGAGGGTGGCCCTGAGAGGTGAGCTCATACTCCAAGCATACCTCCTGGGCACTCTCCAGCTGCTCCTACTCTTAACCCATCTTGTTCAGAGCAGAGGCCTCTGTCCCCCACCCCGGGAGGGCCCTCCCCAGAGAGGCTGCGGCTCCTGAGCCCTCGGGAGGATGATGGGCTCCTCGCTCCCGCCCCCCCCCCCCCCCCCCGTGCCCACACAGCATGGCCCCAGGTTGGGATACGCATTGCCTTCCCCCTCAACTTGAGCTCTCTGGGTGCCCCCCTCACTCCTGCTCCCCGATATTCTCTCTCCCCTGCTCAAGGAAAGACACCATTACTTCCAGACCCCAAAGTCAGCTATCTGAGCAGCACCCTGAACCCCTCCGTCTCCTGGCCCTCTGTCCACCTGAATGTCTCTCCAGCCTGCCACACCCCCTACCTCTCCCGCCAGGCGCTGCCTCCTAGTGATGCTGTTCTGCTCGCTGCCTGGCCCCCAGGCTGCTTCTGCCGGTCCCCATGCCCTTGCTCCTGCTTTCCCTTTACCGAGCGCCCTCCCCGCCTTCCTTTTCTGATTCCTAACAGCTACATGTTCCTCTAGATTTAGTTTCATTCTCACTTCTTCCAGGAGGCCTTCCCAAGAATCCTCAGGCTAGACTAAGGGCCCCTCCGTAGGGGCTGCAGGGCATCCTGGCCCCAGGCCTCTCTTGGCCCTCTGACCACAGGGTGATGAAAGCATCTGTTTATAAATCTGAGGGGTGCCCGGGTGGCTCAGCGGTGGAGCGTCTGCCTTTAGCCCAGGGCGAGATCTCTGGGTCCTGGGATCGAGTCCCACATCGGGCTCTCTGCATGGAGCCTGCTTCTCCCTCTGCCTGTGTCTCTGCTTCTCTCTCTCTGTGTCTCTCATGAACAAATAAATAAAATCTTTAAAAAATTAAAAAATATATCTGAAGTCTCTGAGGTCAAGGCCCTAGACAGTTTGTCTGTGTAACCCTCAGCACTAGCACATAGTAGGTGCTCAACAAATATTCGCAGAGTTTAAAGACAGAACTAAGGAATGGGGGCAGCCCCGGTGGCGCAGTGGTTTAGCACCGCCTGAAGCCCAGGGTGTGATCCTGGGGACCCGGGATCGAGTCCCACATCGGGCTCCTTGCATGGAGCCTGCTTCTCCCTCTGCCTGTGTTTCTGCCTCTCTCTCTCTCTCTCTCTGTGTGTGTCTCTCATGAATGAATGAATAAATAAATAAATAAATAAATAAATAAATAAATAAATAAATAAAATATTTTTTTAAAAAAAGAACTAAGGAATGGAAGGGGTGGACCATGTTGGAGTCCTGGTGGGAGTTAGGGCTCCTGCTCCCCGCCCCTCCCCCTCCCTCCCATCTTTCCCTTCTTAACTGCTCCCCTGTTGTCTTCAGGGTTCTGGCTTCAGAGACCTGTAGGGTGCTGTCACGGCTCCCAGCCCCCAGTCATGCTGAGCTGGACAGGGATGCGAACCCAGGACATCCTGCTGCTTCCCCAGGCCCACCGGAGCAGGGAGGGAGGACACACCCCAGCATCCCAGCCTTCAGACTGCCAGCCGCAGACCTGGAATGCCTTTGCAGGCTTTCTGGAAAGAGGTGGATGGGAGGTCCCAAAACCCTAGTCTGGACTTGGCTCCCCCCTCCCCTCCACCCGTTTCAGTTAAATGGAGCCACGGTGGCTGGTAAGGCCAGGTGACGACCGCTGGTGGCAGGGGGAAAACAGGACAGAGCCGCATGCTTGGCCGACAAGGCGACAGAAAGAAAGGAACGATTTCAGATAAAAGAACAAATGGGCAAAGAGACCAGTGGGCGGGGGAAGGGGAGGCAGAGTCGCCTCCAACTAGTCCTGGTGTGCCCGGGAGTGTCCAGGTTTGAAATCTAAAGTCTCCAGACCCTCCCCATTCAGGGCAGTGGGGATGGTTGACACCTGCCCGTGGACTGGGGGCGGTGTCAGGTGCGGGCCTGAAAGAGCAGCTATTCGGACTGGAACCCGTACAGCTCTTTCCTTGGAGGCCCAGGAAGCCACAGCGGGCTCCTTGCTCTTTCCAGACGCTCCAGAATGCCAAGCGTCTCCCTCCAGTCCACTCCAAGGTGCTCCAGGTGGCCCTACGCTGCCAGCAAGAAGCGGGGCTCCTGTCCAGTCCTCTCCTACCACCTACTGTGCCCCCCCCACCCGGAGTCCCACAGGGTTGCCTTACCTGTCTGGGGGAGGCAGCTGCCACCTGGGAGGTCTCAGGGAGTTGTGGCAAGCTGGCTGCAGGAGATCGACCTTTGTCCCCCCCCCCCCCAGGAACTGCCTTCACCATATAAGGGAAGATAGGGCCCCAGAGAGAGAGAGAGAGAGAGAAAGAGAAAGAGAGAGAGGGTGAGGGGGTGGGGAGGCAGGTGCCTGCCAGGTCCCTGGGAACCAGTGGAGCCCAGCGACAGCCTGACAGACAGAGCCAATGGGCCCCACCCTTGGCTCTGAGTGAGCGAGCTCCCAGGGACAGCGAGCTGCCCAAGGCTCAGGCCCTCACTGCAGGTGGACAGCACTGGCCAGGGAAGCCTGGACCCTTCCTCCTACCAACCCAGATGAGGAGGCTCGGGGGTCCTCCCTCGTTCTCTGGGAAAATGGTCTTTAGGGCGGGGCTTAGGGATCCAGGGCCAGGGGTTCACACTTGCAGCCCCTCCTAGACAGAAGAGACCCTGGCACCCCTAAAGGTCTCTTTTACTTAGCATGACGCATGCTCAGAGGGGGCACAGGTGCTCTCCTTGTCCTGCCCCCCACCCCCTTCAGGCACACTGTCTCCATCTGGAGTGTTTATTAGCTGCCATAAACCAGTGCCTTTGGACTCTGCTACTTTCTCCCAGAAGCCAAGGCTTCCATTCTCAACCCCTGACCCTAGAAGGGCCCATCTCACTGATGACCCGAAACAGATGCCACCCTTTCTGGGATGGGTCTTGCTCTGAAGTCGATTTTGCCTACAAACTCCACACCTTGGGCAGCTGCCTCCCAACCTTGACCCCTACAGAAATTCCCCAGTCATCCCTGAACCCTGGTCCTCTGGAGGGGAAACCCTCCTCCTGACCACACCTTCCCCAGAGGTCTGGAGAACAACTGCAGGCCTGTGTGTGCACACGGGAGCACGTGTGAGCATGCTCACCAACAGTCTGGTAAGAGGAGTAAACACATGGCAGGTGTTACTCTGTTTTTTAAAAGGACATCTTTTTTCTGTGTGAATAAAAAAGGAGTCTGTGTTTATTCAATTATACAGCCTGGCAAGAAGGAAAGGAAAAATTCACTTATAATTTCACTACAAAGATGACCTACAAATAAATCAGTTAGTGATTTATTTTGGAGTATCTCTTCTGAGTACCTGTGTTGTGTGTATATATATATATACTATATATATGTATGTACTATATATACATAACTATTTTTCTATCTATCCTTTTTACTGTGACATGTTATATATTATTTCACGACTGCATTTTATTGTCTCCTGATAATCCGTTAGGTAGCAGAGTTTATGTAACCGATGGTTCATTATTGGACTTCCAAATTATTGCCATTTATTTGATGCCACAAAGAATGCCATGGTGAATATTCTTATTGCTAAATCTTTTTTTTTTTAAACATTTTATTTATTTATTCATGACAGACACAGAGAGAGAGAGAGGCAGAGACACAGGCAGAGGGAGAAGCAGGCTCCATGCAGGGAGCCCGACGTGGGACTCGATTCCGGGTCTCCAGGATCATGCCCCCGGCCGAAGGCGGCACTAAACCACTGAGCCACGGGGGCTGTCCCTAAATCTTTTTTTTTTTAATCTTTTTTTAAATATGTTTTATTTATTTATCTGAGAGAGAGCACGAGCAGGATCGGAGGGGCAGAAGGAGAGGGAGAAGTAGAGAAGCAGACTCTTCCCTGAGCCGGGAGCCCACTGTGGGGCTCCATCCCCAAACCCCAGGATCATGACCTGAGCCTAAGGCAGATGCTTAACTGACTGAGCCACTAGGCGCCCCTCTTCTTGCTAAACCTTTGCCATTCGATTGTATCCCTTGTTATTGCTTCGAGATAAACTTCTAAAGTTGGGATTGCTGGATCAAAGATGTGAACAGGCAAATCGCCCTCTGGAAAAGTCACACTAATTTCTAGTATCACCTACAGCACAGAAGAATGCCTGTTTCTCTGCACTGTCCCCAGCACCGGGCTCAGCTTTTAAGAAAATCTCTGTCAGTCTGACCACCGAAAAGAAACTAGTCATTGGGTGCGTTATGTTATTTTGATTACCCATGGAATAGACCATTTTAAGATACATTTATTGGCTATGTCTTCTTTTGTGAATTTTTAGTTAATTTGTTGAGTTGTTTGTGTTTAATGTATTGAGGTTGGTAATCTGTCATTTATGCTGCAGTTTCTCCAGTCTGCTTCTTGCCTTTTAATTTAGCCTCAAGATTTTTTTTTGGAAGAACATAGGTTTGGTTTGCTTGTTTGTTTTAAACTTAATTTTTTTAAAGATTTTATTTATTCATGAGAGACACAGAAAGAGAGGCAGAGATACAGGCAGAGGAAGAAGCAGGCTCCATGCAGGGAGCCCAACGTGGGACTCGATCCCGGGTCTCCAGGTTCAGGCCCTGGGCTGAAGGCAGGTGCTAAACCGCTGAGCCACCCAGGGATCCCAGTGCCCCTGTTTTTAATCTTAATTCCAGTACAGTTCACATACAGTGTTGTATCCGTTTCAGGTGTACAACATAGTGATTCAGCACTTCCACACATAGACCCAGTGCTCACACCAGTGCCCTCCTCAATCCCCACCACCGGTTTCTCCCATTCCCCCCCACCTCCCCTTTGGTGACCATCAGTTTGTTCTCTCTAGTTAAGAGTCTGTTTCTTGGGGATCCCTGGGTGGCTCAGCAGTTTAGTGCCTGCCTTTGGCCCAGGGCACAATCCTGGAGTCCTGGGATCGAGCCCCACGGGCTCCCGGCATGGAGCCTGCTTCTCCCTCTGCCTGTGTCTCTTCCCTCTTCCTCTCTCTCTCTCTCTTGCTCTCTCTCTCTCTTTATGTCTATCAGTAATAAATAAATAAATCTTTAAAAAAAAAAGTCTGTTTCTTGGCTTATCTCCTTTCTTTCTCCCCCTTTGTTCGTTTGTTTTTTCTTAAATTTCACATATGAGTGAAATCATATGGTATTTGTCTTTCTCTGACTGGCTTATTTTGCATTTATACTCTCCAGCTCCATCCACGTTGTTGCAAATGGCGAGATTTCCTTCTTTTATTTTTTTAAGATTTTTTATTTATTTATTCATAGAGACACAGAGAGAGAGAATGAAAGGCAGAGACACAGGCCTAGGGAGAAGCAGGCTCGCCCTGAGCTGCAGGCAGCGCTAAACCGCTGTGCCACCGGGGCTGCCCGATTTCATTCTCTTTATGGCTGAGTACTACTCTAGTATATATATATATATATATATATATATATATATATATATATATATATACTACATCTTCTTTATCCATCTATTGATGAACCCTTAGATTGCCTCCATAATTTGGCTCCATAAATAAGGCTGCAATGAACCTAGGGATCCCTTTAATGTAGTGTTTTTGTATTCTTTGGGTAAATATGCAATAGTGTGATTACTGTGTCATAGAGTAGTTCAATTTTAAATTTTTTGAGGACATTCCATCCTGTCTTCCACAGCGGCTGCACCAGTTTGCATTCCTACCAACAATCCAGGAGGGTTCCTATTGGAGGAACACATGTATTAAAAAGTCATTTCCGATTTCTTTATTATGATAAATGTCAAATATAGAGAAAAGTATAAATAATAGCACAACAGTACAATACTCAATACTCAAGGGTTTGAGAATGAATGGAAATAATTATACTGAGAAGTGATTTGCAGATATCATGAACCTTGAGCCCAAAATATTTGTCACACGTATCCTAAGAGCGAAGACATTTCCATAACTGTAATATGATTTTCACACCTGAGAATATTAGCAATAATTTCTAACATCACCTTCTATCCAGTCCATAATTAACATTTTGCCAATTCGGGAATCCCTGGGTGGCTCATTGGTGTAGCATCTGCCTTTGGCCCAGGGTGTGAACCTGGAGTCCTGGGATCGAGTCCCACCTTGGGCTCCCTGCGTGGAGCCTGCTTCTCCCTCTGCCTGTGTCTCTGCCTCTCTCTCTCTCTCTCTCTCTGTGTGTCTCTCATGAATAAATAAATAACATATTTAAAAAGAAAAATTTGGGGATCCCTGGGTGGCGCAGTGGTTTGGCGCCTGCCTTTGGCCCAGGGCGCGATCCTGGAGACCCGGGATCAAATCCCACATCTGGCTCCCAGTGCATGGAGCCTGCTTCTCCCTCTGCCTATGTCTCTGCCTCTCTCTCTCTCTCTCTCTCTCTGTGACTATCATAAATAAATAAAAATTAAAAAAAAAAAGAAAGAAAAATTTGGGTACAGCCTGGGTGGCTCAGCGGTTTAGCACTGCCTTCGGCCTAAGGCATGATCCCGGAGACCTGGGATCGAGTCCCATGTCGGGCTCCCTGTATGGAGCCTGCTTCTGCCTATGTCTGTGCCTCTCTCTCTCTCTCTCTCTCTCTCTGTGTCTCTCATGAATAAATAAATAAAATCTAAAAAAAAAATTTTTTTTTGCCAATTGGTCCCACAAGGATGTAAACACCTGGTTTTATTGACTCAAGATCAAAAAAAGATCAAGCATCCCCTGTGAATGTTACATCTTTTCAGTATTTTGTAAACCTAAAACAGTCCCCCAGCTTTTTTCTTGATATTGACTGACCCGAGTCAAGGTCACATGTCCTGTCATGTGTTCACCTTGTGGATTTGTCTGTCTTTCCCTGTGTATTACTCAATTGTTCCTCTTCCTCCACTATTGTCCACAAACCAAAAATATATCTAAATTCTTGATTAGGGACGCCTGGGTGGCTCAGCGGTTGAACCTCTGCCTTCGGCTCAGGGTGTGATCCCCGGGGTCTTGGGATCAAGTCCCAAACCGGGTTCCCCCACAGGGAGCCTGCTTCTCCCTCTGTCTAGGTCTCTGCCTCTCTCTGTGTCTCTCATGAATAAATAAATATTAAAAAAACAAGTCTTGATTGGGTTCTGTAAAGGCACATTCTCCCCTTTGCAATTAGAAAGTCATCTCGAGGTGACAGTTTGGCACTAGAAGCACAACAGTTTTAAATTCCTTACTTGCCACTTTTTACTTCTTCTGTAATACTCATTCTGTAATTACTTTTTTTTTTAAGGTTTTATTTATTTATTCATGAGAGACACAGAGAGAGGCAGAGACACAGGCTGAGGGAGAGGCAGGCTCCCTGCCAGGAGCCCGATTCAGGAATCAATCCCAGGACCCTGGGATCACGACCTGAGCCAAAGGCATGATAGATGCTCAATCACTGAGCCCCTGTAGTTACATTTCCCTACTGTGTCTGCTTAGCTCACTGCTGAACCCTAGTGCTGGGTACGTGGTAGGCATGCAATGAATGTTTGAAGGAAAGAAATACAATGTATGATTTCTATCTTTGATATTATATTTAGCAAGCTGGGTTTTATTTTTAAAAGATTTTATTTATTAATTCATGAGAAACACAGAGAGAGAGGCAGAGACACAAGCAGAGGGAGAAGTAGGCTCCTTGAGAGGAGCTTGATGTGGGACTTGATCCCCAGGACCCTGGGATCACAATGTGAGCCAAAGGGAGGTGCTCAACCATTGAGCCACCCAGGTGCCCCTGTGTTTTAAATTTTAAACTGAATTTTAGGGTTTTTTTTTAGAGTGATTTTAAGTTTTAAAAATTAATAAATATGTCTGGTAAAAGGATTCAAATTAGATGTGTAATAAAATGTGTCCCTTCCATGGTAGATGACTCCCACCCAGTCCCCCAAGCCCTGTTCCCTGGATTGGCAACAGTTCTCATTTCTTGTGTGCCCAATTGGAGTATAAGCAAGTATATATTTGTGTGTGTTTTTGTATTTCTCCTTTATGGAAATACACCATCACCCTTGTAGAACCCTTGCTTTGCTTCATTTACCATCATCTGTCTGGGAGATCATCCTGTATCTGCTTGAATAGTTCCAACTCGTTTGTTTTCAAGGCTGCATGGTATTCTCTGCTCTAGATACAGCAATGTTTATTTAACCAGTCCCTTACTGATGGACACTTAGGTTATTTCAAGTGTTTGGCTGTTACAAACAAGGATGCAGTTAGTACCCGTAAACATACTAGTTTATATGTACATATATTTTATACATAGCACAAATTCCTAAAAGTGGAATTGCTGGATCAAAGGGCATCTGCATTTAAAAAATAATGTTTTAAAGATTTCTGTATTTATTTGAGAGAGAGAGAGAAAGATAGCATGGGGGGTGGACAGAGGGAGAGGGAGAGAGAGAGAGAATCTCAAGCACATTCTCTGCTGAGCAAGGAGCCGGGAGGGCAGACCTGATCTCACCACCCCCAGATCATGACCTGAGCCAAAATCGACTGGCACGTTTAACCCACTGAGCCACCCCTCAAAAATGACTTTGATAGATGTCGTCAAATTGCTGTCCAAAGAGGTTATAGCAGCTCACACGCCTGCCAGCAGTGTTTTATCAGTGCCCTTCCCTGCACCCTCTCCTCCTGTGTGTGTAACAAGCAAATAGTGAATATCTGCTCACACCAGGCTCCCGTTAGATACGTTTTCACAGCTGACATCTCCAACGCCTTCCTCCAGCCCAGCCGTCCTTGCCCCCCACCCCCCACCCTCCCCGGCCCGAGCAGCCACAGCTTCCCCCAAGGTTATCTCGTCTCCCACATTCATCCCTTCTATCCTCTTCTTGCTTCACTCCGCCTCGGCCTGAGTTCAGGCTTCAGCCCCCCATGCTTGGGATCACGGCTGTGGTCTCCCCGTGTGGTCTCAGGTCCCTGCACCCTTAGGTTTAGGTTCCAAAATCCAGCTGCTGGCTTTGAGCACTGCGCCCTCCTATTGGGTGTTCCTCGGTGGCACCCACCGCCCCGCAAGAGGGCCACGCCCGTGGACTCCCGGAAGACCCACATCCTCTGGCCTCTCCTGTCCGCGCCAGCGCTTCCCATCCTTTTTCCCTTGTGGGCCATCCCCAAATTCTCATTTCCCACGCTCCCTTCCGTGGCTGTCCTCGGATGCTTCCGCTTCCTCTCCTGCGCACTTCCTTGCTTAGGTCACCGGTTCCCGGAATTGCTCCTGTTTCCCAAACCCCTCTGAGCCGCAAGGCAGCAGGAAGCGTTTTCCAGACCTCCCGGGCCCTCCCAGGTGGGGTGAGGCGTCCTCTGCCCCCCCCACCTTCCAGTCTCTCTCTCTCTTCCTCACTGCGCCGCAGCAGGTCAGGTTCTAATCTGCTCAGGTGTCTTTCTCTGCCCTGGAGTGTGAGTTCCTTGAGAACAGAGGCAGGGCCCAGTCATGGGGTGTCCCTGGGTCCTGGCACCCTGCCTGGCACCCAGCCAACGCGGAGGCCTGTGGTTGAGTTGAACTGTGTGGGTGCCGGCTGTGTGGGCGGCGGCGGTGGGGCGAGGCTGGCTGTGGTCGAGTTCAAAGCCCGGAGCCCTGCTGACTCCCCGGCGTGTCATTTGCATCCACTGGGATGCAGACCCCGGGGGTAACCGGTGTTTGCTGGGAGGGCAGGACCTCCCGCGGGTCCGAGGGAGGAGGAAGGCAGAGGCGGGCCGGGCGGGCATTCACCCCCGGGGGTCTCCAGCGGAGTGGGGCTGAAGGGCGCCGCGGGCTGCTCGTCCCAGGCGCGGGGAGAGGGCAGGGAGGGCTGTCACGCACGCTGCCCCGGGCCTGGGGGAGGGCAGGCCGCCCGGAGGCTGGATCCCCGAGCCGTGGGGGTGGGGTGGGGGGTACGGCGGGCGGAGCTGGGGCGCAGACACCACCTCGGGCCAGGGCAGGCCGCCCCTCGCCAGGCTGTGTGCGCCGCGGGGAGGCGGGTGGACGGCCCCGACCCCCATCTTTGCAGCCCCGGGGGGCGGCGTCGGCGAGGCGGGGAGGCCTCTAGCGGCCACCGCGGGGAGCGGGGGAGGGCGGGCCGGGAGGGCACTTCCTGCGGGGCCCGGGGCTGCCCGGTTTTGCAGAGGAAGTGCTGCCAGGGCCGGAGGGGCGGGGGCAGGAAGTGGGCCGGAGGCTCGTGCAGGGGCGCGGCCGGGAGGGGCCCGAGGCGGCCGGGGGCGGGGGCAGCGCGGGGCTGGCGGGGGCAGCGCGGGGCTGGCGGGGGCAGGCGCCCGCCCGCCGCCTCCGGGACACCGGGACGCTCCGCGGCCGAACTGGGCTTCCCAGGAGCCTCCCCCCACCCCCCGCCTGCAAATACCTGGCAGGGGCCCCCTGGGGGCGCGGCCGCCCTGCAGCCCCCCCCCGCCCTCCGCCTGGGGGGGGCCTCTGCACTTGCGGGGCGGACCCCGAGGCCGGGAGGGGCGCACGCGGCCCCACGTCGCCCTCGGAGACCTGAAGCCCCGGGACCTAGGGCGGCTGCTCCCTCCCGCCCGCCCCTCGGGGAAGGACACACAAGCGCTCCCCCCAGCGTGCCCCCTAATGACCACAGAGGCAGGATGGGGTTCTGGCTTTCTCTTTAGTTCCCGTCATACCGTGGGGCACTCAGTCACAGAGAAGGCACTTCTACGGGAAGGTCACCGATTCCGGCCAACCTTGTCCTCCCTCCCGCCCGCCCCCAGTTCTCTGAGGTGGAGGGGCAAGGAGATCTCCGTTTGACATCCCCCTTGGCACTGGTACGTGGGTCCCCTTAACCGTTAGGCCGTGGGCAGAGCCCAAGGCCTTGATCTCCAAACTCAGCATTTGGGGAACGGGTTCCAGATACAGAAGTCAGAGCTGGAAGGCAGGAGGTCTTGGGAGCTGCCCCCAGCCAGCAGGGGGTGAGGCAGGGGACGGAGTCGACAGGGGTGGGTTGGCACAGTGGAGGGGGGCCAGCTTGGCCAGGCTTCCTGGAGACCCCCAAACCCCACAAGAAGGGTCCCACCTCCTACAGCTCCTCTAAAGGCACCGGTGAATGGAGTGGGTGGGGGAGGCACCGATGGGGTGCAGAGACCCCCCCACACACACTCAGCTGGTGGGCCTAGCACAGTGCTGGGCACAGAGAAGGTGCTGATGTGTTTTGAATTAATGAATAAATTGGAGCAAAGAGGGTGTGAGGAATAGAAGACAGGGCCTGGGGCCCCTTGGCCCAGCCTGTTTCATTCAGAAAATAGCAGTTTAAAAAATGTAAAAATCCTTTCCCTCCCTCCCCGCAATTTATGGGTCTAGAAAAGGGGTGAAGGGGGGGGTGTCTCTACCCCGGCTCTTCCCTCTCCCCTTTCCCTAAACATCTATATACACATATACATATTTATATGGCACCACAAAGGGGTCCTGCCTCTGCCCCCACGAGGAGCTGGGGAGCCAAGCCCCAAGGGCCTTGGGGGTGGTCAAGGCAGATGTGAGGGGTCAGGGCTTGGTGTGGGGAGCAGCCTTTGGCAGCTGATGAGCCTAGAGAGGCTGGACTCTGGTCCCAGAGGACACACCCGGTTCCCTTCACAAGTGGTAACAGATTTTCTCCCCTCCCTGCCCTGGAGGCAGAGATGGGGGGGCTCTATCGATCCCAAGGGAGGAGGTGGGGAGACTGCGTCCTCTCCCACCAGCCTAGACTGCAGCCACTTGGAGACTGTTCCAGGCAAGAGCCCACTGACTGCGGCCCTGGGAACCCAGGGCAGGGACAGGGGCTCTACGCAAGGCACTTGGGTGTCCACCATTCCCAGGCTGGGGGGCCCCCCGAGGTGCAGGGCAGCAGGAAGCCTGCCCCTCCCCCAAGTAGAACCAGAAAGGGCCAAGGGGCCCAATTTGGCAGCAAAGAAACATGGCAGCAAAGAGAGAAGACAAAAGGGGGAAGCGGCACACAGGACCCCACAGGACCCCACAGGTCCCCCAAGGAGGAGGTTCTAAGGCACTAAGGCACAGACACAGGGGCCCAGAGGCTCATCAGCCTCCGTGTGGCCGGCTGTCCCCTTCGCAGCCAGGCTGGACAGTTGGGGAGGGCCCACTTCCCCGTGACGCTGAGGTGGCGGCCGTAGTGGCCGCTCAGGATTCTTCAGGAAAAGTCCACGGGTGAGGGGTGTGGGCGTCGGTCAGGGGCAGGTCCTGGCCCCCGGGCACCTCACTAGCTGCCGGGCCGTGGCTGCCTGAGCACTGAGTACACGTCATCCACTCGGCTGAGCTGCTCAAAGAAAGGCAGGAGGTCGTGGAGCTCAGTGTCACTCATGTTGTCAAACCAGGAGGCCACCGGTACCTGGGCAGATGGATGCAGGCCCGTGAGGAGGGCGGGTGGCTCTGGGCGCAGGATGCCCAGGCCAGCCCTGAGCACCCCTGCCTGGTGGGCCACCTGCCCCACTCCCGGGAAGCCCCATACCCATGACTTTCAACCATTTTGACGGCAGCCCACAGTAAGTCACGTTTATGCACAATAAAGCCAGAGTTTTATGAAATGACACTTAACCCTTCTGTATGCAAAGCACACTGATGTTTTCTATTCTATTTGGTTTTTTTAAACCTCCAACTAGGACCCGCCGAATTATTTCTGTGACCCACTAAATAGGTCACAATTGGCAGGCTGGGCCCCCTCTTCACACAAGCAAGTGGATCGAATGATCAAGAAGGTATGAAAAGCAGCAGCGGTGGGTAGATTAAGCGAGCGGGTGGCAGGCACAGGTCACCCAGGGCAGGGAGGAGGACCAGGAGGGCACCAGGCCCCGGACACCACCCAGCATGGCAGTGGGGAAGCCAAGGGGGCCCCCGTGGCCGGACCCTCACCTTGGTTCTCGGCCCCCAACCCGGTCCTGCCCGGCACTCACGGCGTTGTCTGGATGGAAGACATAGGAGGCGGGCGAGTTGTCGAGGATGAGCACCCGCCGCAGGTCTCGGCCCAGCCGGCTCAGGTCCTTGACGTAGTTCCCTCGGTGGAAGACGCAGGACTCGCGAAACAGCCGCGCCCGGAAGGCCCCCCACTTGTCCAGCAGATCGGCCACTGGATCTGCATACTGCGGAGTGGGACATGCATCACCCGGGGCCCAAGGGGACCCAGGGGTCCATCCGGCAGGTGCGGAAAGGCCAGCGGCCCCAGGAACCCTTGGGGGGCGGGGGTGGGGGGCTCACCTTGGCAAGGCTGGCGGTGAACAGCACACACTCAAAGAGCTCGCCCATTCGCTGCAGGAACTCATCCACGTGGGGCCTCTTCAGCACGTAGACCTAGGGGGTGCGCAGGTGAGGGGCCTGCAGGCCCAGGGCCCGCGGGGAGGGGCGGGGCGGGGCGGCAGAGGAGCACAGGCCGGGACTGGTCCCAGGGCCAGCGGGGGACTCCAACTGTCCTTCCAGAAGAGGATTCAAAACGACCTCCAAAGTCTAGCTTCAGGTCCTACTCATGGGGGAGCACTAATTCCCAGTCCTTCCCCTCCCCCCACCACCACCTTAGCCAAATGTAGGGGCCTGGGGGCAGCCCCCTCGCCCCAAGGCTGCAGGGCGCCGGCCCCCGAGCCAAGTAATGGAGAACAGGCTGGACAGCACACAACCTATCCTGAATTACTTGAACTGGGTCCCGGGCAAGGTGGGGCAAGGGGGCGCCGAGGAGGAACCCCACTCCCTGCAGGCCTTGGAGGTGGGCCAAGTCCCTGAGGGACCTCGTGACCTGGGGCAAGTCTTATACCTTCTGGGGCCCTTGTTTTCCGCATCTACCAAAGTCCCACCTGGGGTTCTCAGGACTGATGAGAGGAGCCTGGGGTCTGGAAGGCAGATGCCAAGCCCGCCGCCTCCCCCCCCCACCAGCCCCTCACCTGGTGGACCACCCCATCAATCTCCACAGGGATGATGAAGTCGGCGTTGTTCACAGGCTGTGGGGGGGGAAAAGGAGCTGCTGGGGCGGGGCCCGCAGAGACCACCCACCCCCAAGTCCAGGGCAGGCCCTCTCCGAGACCCCAAGGCTGCGGGCTGCTGGGCAGGGCCCACCTTGAAGGAGCTGTGCACCAGGGTCTCGTCCAGGTCGATGACCACACAGATCTTGTCCGCGTCCTGGGCCTTGGCCTCTGGGAGCAGGTACTGGACTGGGGTCTGCTGCAGGGATGGGCGAGGTAGTTGGGGGCACCTCCCGCAAGGCCCGGTCACTTCTCCCTCCCCCAGCCCTCTACCTGGGGAGACACCACCCCCTTCCCAGCTCTGCCCCTGCCAACTGGAGCCTGGGGCAGGCCACTTGGCTCCGGGCCTCACTTCCCCACCTGGGAAACCAAGGGAGAGAAAGGCTTTCATCTTATGGGGGAAATCCAGAGGCCCCTTGGTTGAGGGGCCCTCACTTGGGTGGCAGTCTTGGGGCATTCAGAGCCAGGCTGGGAAGGCCTGGAGGGCCGGTCTAGGGCTTTGGGAGGGGGAAGGGTTCACCTTCTTCCATATCCTACAGGGCCTGCAAATGGGTCATGAAAAGACCCTTCCTCTAAACCTCCTCCAGGCTGAGCCCCGGTGCTCGGCCCTACAGCTCCCACCTGGCCATCACCCACCTTGGGGACAGCTCCGTTCTCCTCCACCAGCAGTGGGGCCCCACTGTGCGCAGGCAGGGCCTCCCCATCGTCCCGGCAGACGCAGCAGAAAAGCGAATGGAGGATGCCCCGACTCCGGGGCTTCTGAGAAGCTGCTGACTTCTGGTCACCTGAAGCAGGGAGACCCAACGTGGGGGTGTCACGCATATGTGCCCAGGTGTGAAACCCTGCGCTGAGAGGGTCTGGCCGTGCCTCCTCCGTCCAGAGAGATACACCGCCATGGCCTCAGACCCTCCTGGCAGCCTTGACTCCAGGCCACCCGTCGAGTCCCCACAAAACCTCCCAGCGTAGGCACAAAGGCACCCTGGAAGGGGCCCACGGAGAGTGCCTTCTCTTTTCCTCCCAGCCTTCATCGCTGCTGAGGGATGAACCCCACTGGGGACACCCACCTGGACGCGCACAACCCCTGCTCGGTGGGGCCCCTACCCAGGAGGGCTGGGGCCTGGGGCCCCGCCGTCCACTCCCGCGCTCCTCCCACCCTTTCCGCCCACGTGGGTCCAAAGTCCTGAGCAAGGCTGGGCCCAGAGGCCGGGAGTGGGGGCCCCTGCCAGTGTCCCTCAGCCATCTGCCGGCCCCGCCTCCCCCGCCCTCGCCCCGCCCAGACCTCCGACCTAGAGCCCGGCATCCGCCGCCTGATTGACGGGCCCACCCCTCCACCGCCCCTCTCCCGGGCCCCTGCCTTCGCGCGGAGCTAGGCCCCGGGCTCGAGCGGGGCGGACCCGGAGGGGCTTCCCGGCCTCTGGGGTCCGCCCCGGGCCGCGGAGGGGCAGACCCCCAGCCGAGCCCTCCAGCCCCGGGGGCTCGGCCGAGGCGGGCGGCACCGCTTACCGGGTCAGGGCGCGTGTGCACGGGCGCGGCGCCCGCGGGGCCTGCAGCCGGGCCGGGTGCTCAGCCCCACGCGCGAGGCTCCCCGCGGGCGCGCCTGCGACCCTTGAAGGGCTGCCCCAGTCCCGGGCCTCCGAGGGGCTCAGCGCTTCCACGCGTGACGCGGAAGTTTGTTGGGATCGTAGCTGAGTGTTGGCGGGAGATCCTCCCAGCCCTACCCCGCCCGCTGTCACCTCGGCGCCCCCTCCGGCGACCCAGCCGGACCGCGGCCCGGGGCGGAGCCTCAGCGGGTGGCCCGAAGGCGCCCTCTTCAGCCCCCCCCACCTCCCAGCCTCATTGGCGCCAATGGGGGGAGGGGGCGACTGTCGGGCCCGGCGCAGTGCCAGCCCGGGAGACCCGGAAGGAGCCCACGCTCTACCCCTGCCTCAGTTTCCCCACCTCGAGTACTCGGGACGCCAGCGGCTGCAGGCCCCGCCCCGCGTCTCTGAGCCTCGGGAGTTCAGACTGGGTCCCCGCTCGCTCGCGGGCGGGCAGCGGAGCGGCCCCGGCAGGTCTCGGCCCCCTCCTCCGCCCACGCCGCCGCCGCGCTGCAGCCCCTCCGCGCAGCCCCAGTACCTTTGCCCCGTAGCGGGCCCCGCGCCTCCTCCTTGGTGATCTGAGTAATGACGGCCGAGCTGTCCATGGGGCCGGGCGCGCTCCGCTCCGGCCGGACTCTGGCCCGGGCGCCCGGCCTCCCCCCCGGCTCGGGCCGGAATCGGGGCGCGGGGGGGAGGGGAGGGGTGGGAGGGAGGGATCCCCGCGAGCTTCGGAGGGGAGGGGAGCCAGGTTCTAAGGGGGAGGGGGAGGGAGGGGGCGCGGAGGAAACTTTGTTACAACATGGAGTTTCCTCCCCGCGAGGCGGATGCAAACATGGAACCCGGGCGCTGTTTCAAGGCTCCCCCTTAAAAGGGCAACGGCTTCGGCGTGACCTGGACTGGGCCGCGGCTTTCATCACCGCTGGGGCCGGCGCGGCTGGGCTCTGCTGGCGGGGAGGCGGGCCCGGCCGGGTTCCTGCCGCGCTCCAGGGGGCGTCGCCTCGCTTCCTGCCGCCCGCCCGCGGGGCCGAGCCTCTGCGGCTGCGTGGCAGGACCGGCACCCGGCCCGCGGTTGCAGCCCGCCAGGGGCCCGGGGCCGGGGGCCGGGGGCCGGGACCGCCCCGCCCGCCGCGAGCGCCCGCGCCGGGGTAGAGCCCGAGGGCGGCGCGACTCCACCTCCGCGCCCGCGGGGGCCCGGCACTAGCGGCTCCTCGGCGTCCCCGTCTGGGGACCGGGAATAACGCTGTCTGGGCTGCGAAATGGGTCTTCGGTGGTCGCGGGCGCCACCGGGCAGGAAAGCCCCGAGCCCGGAAGGCTGGCTGCCGGCTCCAACAGGCTGCGCAGAGCCGAGCTTTTGGCCGGACAGTGGCGGTCAACACCCCCCAACCTTTCGGGGCCAGGTGACCCGGATCTGCAGGGCGCGAGAATGACGACCCCTGCCCCCGAGTGCCCCCTGCGGACCTCGCGCAGTTGCCCCACCTGGCGCCCCGCGCGTCTGCGCCCACGGCCGGGCACCAGGCTCCCCTGTGCCGCAGGGCCGTCGTGTGCGCTGTTCCCTCTGCCTGCGAAGGCGCTTCCAGCCCCTTTGCGGAGCCAAATCGCACTGCCCTCGACGACAAGCCACCTTCTCCGAGGGGCCCTCCTAGACCCTCCCTCTGCCCCCCACGCCGGCCACTCGGTAATCATCCGGGCGGAGGGTCCCGCGGGGGCCGCACGCAGGGGGCGCTGAGTCCCTGCGGGCCCCGTTCCTGACGGGGGGGGTTGGGGGGTCCACACACATCAGCTCTTGGTACGATGTTGAGCACCCGCCCCCTCGGGGCGCGGGGCCACGGCTGGAGCGCGGCCCGCACTTCCACGCGGACCCTTCCCGGGGGAGGCTCCCGTGTGACGCGCCGCGCGGTCGGCGGGGTCGCCTCTGCTTTGTGTCTCGGCTCCACCGAGTTCTCCCCCGTGTCCTTACTACGCTGGCTTCTCGGCTTAAACACGAAGCCTGACGCCGGGGCCTGGCGGACACGCCTCGGCACTTCCTTCCCCTTGGGGCCTCGGTGGCGGGCGGAGCGGGCGCGTCCTGTCCCGTCCCGCCGCCTGGTGCAAGCGCGGCGCACGTCCTCCGGGCCCCGGGCGGGCGGGCAGGGCAGGGGAGGGGCGGGCAGGGGAGGGGCCGGAGAGGCCCGTGCGGGGCGGCCGGACGAGAGCGGCGCCGGCCCGAAGGCGCGCCAGCTTTGTGCCCGGCGACGGGGCAGAGGGGAGGCGGCCCGGGGCTGGGACTTCCCCTCCTCCCCCTCCCTATCCGCCCCTCCCCGCCCAGCGCCCGCGCGGGAGCCCCGCGGCCTCCTCCGGCCCCCCCTTCCCCCGGCGCCCCCACCGCCGCCAGCGTTGCGTTTAGTGGTGATCGTCGCAACGTGTGGCGAGCGCTTGTCTGTGTCCTGCTTTGGCCGCGCCCCCCATCTCGTTCACTCCTCAGAACCACCCCCCTGCTTCTCCCCATTTTACAGATAAGGAAACCGAGCTCTGAGAAGTGAAGGACGTGACCCAGCCTTCTGGGCGAGGGTAGAGGTGTCCTTCGGGCCACCAAGCCGAGACCCCTCCCCTTGGGCTTGAGCCCCGGGCCGGGCCAGGTGTCAGCTTTATCTCTGGTGGCCAGCTCGCACTGACCCCAAAAGAAAACGTGTGGTGAGGACCCAGTGAACTCCCGGCCTCGCCCCCGCTTGAGCAGGGCGGCTCAGCGTCCTCTACTTTCGTTTCTCCGGCTCTGGAGGCTGGACCCTGGACGCCTGTCCCCTTCCTCCGGAGTCAGAAATGGAAGGAATGCACAGGGCACCGGGCAGGGGCGCTGCCCACCCCGGCCCATGGCCCCAGACCTCCCATCCCTAACACTGGCCCCCTCCCAGGCCTCTTCCCCTGGGAGACTTTCCCAGGCTCCCAGGCCTTCCAGGTGGACTCCCCCCCCCCCCAGGGGTGGTTAGCAGTGAGGCACCCTGCACTGCAGGGTCTGGGGGGATCCTAGGACACAGAGGGGTGTGTGTGCTGTAGGGTCTGGGAGTTCTTTGGGCTTCTCCCTGGGGAGGGTGGTGTCCACACTGCACTGCTGCCCCCTAACTGCTAGGCCCCAGCAGCTGGATGTTACCTTACCCTCATTTATTTTTCTCCTGGCACCCCAGGAGGAATCAGAGGGGCTGTGGCTCCAGAAACACCAGGGCTCCACTGCTTCTGACTAGCCCCTGTGGACAAGTGTCCCCCTTCAGCACCTCAGCTTCCTCATCTACCAAATGGGGTTGGTGAGGGTCCAACCCTGGCAAGTGAAGGGGGGGTGGTCAGCGCCGAAAGGGACAGTGGCCTCCACAGGCCCTTGGGGAGAATCCTGGTGCTAGGCCCCTTCCTGACCAGGGGGGACCAGAGCTACTGGTCTGCCGGGCAGGGGACTGACCTTGACCTGACCTCATCCCTAACCCTTGCCCAGGCCCAGGGTAGCCCCGTGGCTGACCCTTTGGTCCCCTCACTTCCTTGCCTGCACGTTCTCAGTGCTAGGCTTAACTACTCAGATGACCAGCCTGCTCCTTCCTCTGGGGCCCCCTGTCCTGCTCACAGGACCCAAGAACTCCCCCACAAGGCTGCAAGTCTGTTTTGCACACACCTGCTTCCCCCTCCCCCCCTCCTGGCAGGTTCATTCTCCCCTGGCTGCTCCCCCTCCCCCATTCAGCTTTCAAAATCCTGCTCAGGAGTTACCGGCTCTGGCCCTGGCCTCACTCCTTTCCAGGGGTGCCTGACAGGCACTTGGGTGGTTCTGTCCTCCCACCCTAGGCCCATTTGCTGTCACTCACTAGCCGTCTCCCCCTACTGGAGTGTGAGCTCCTCCAGGGCTGACGCCTTCAATGGGGACTTTGCTTCCTTCCCCCACGTCTAGCACAAGGATGGCACCCCGTGAATAATGAACTGACCAGAGAAGGGTGTGCAGGGGTTCGGCAGGGGACCCCCAGGAAGCTGGAGAGGAGCACGGACGAAGCCTCCTTCTCCATTCCCAGGCCCCCATCCATCCCCCTCTTCCGCGAGCGTGGGTCCCACCTTCTCCAGAGCCAAGCCCAGAGACGAGGATACAGCGGCCTTCTGGCTCAGGTACCGCACCCTCGCCCACCCCTCTCTGGTTGGGGCAGAGCCTGTCCCATCCCGTCCCTCCTTAAGGGCCCCACTCGCATCGTTGCCCTTTTAAGAAAGAGGAAATTCTTCTCATAAACAAGCGCCCCAACCTGAGCGCGGAGCTTGCCCCGCCAGATCCCCGGGCACTTGGGGGTGCTCCAGGCACAAAGCCCGCCCCAGCCTCAACCCAGGGCAACGCCTAGGGGCCCCTTCTCGCCACCGCTCTCCGCGGCTCCCGGGCTGGGGTCCGAGGGACCCGAAGAGCCTTGGAGGAGGGACTTGGGGGAGCCTAGAAACAGCCCAGGGAGCGTCAGTAAAGTGCAACCTCTGCACCGAGCGAAGGGGTGCCGGGCGGCTCCCAGCGGCCGAAGGGGTTCCCCGCCCACCTCCCCCGCCCCCCACACCCCGCCTCGCCGGGCGGATTCCGAGGCCCCAGGGCGCGAGGCGCCAGCGCCCGCCTCCTCCTCCTCTTTGGCCGGGAGGGGTGAGGCCGCGGCGGGGAGCGAGGGCGCTCGGGACCATCCCTGCCCCTAGGGGGAGCTGGGAGTCAGCGCCGAGGGAGCATTAAGTGCGCCGCGTGGGAGTCCCGGCCGCCCGCACCCCTGGGGAGATGGCAAATGAATTGCGCCTCCGAGGCACGGACTCTTGGGTTCCGCGACCTGGCGCCCGAAGAGGGGGCAACGGCGCCTCCGTTTTACTGCCTGGAGAGCGGGTTGCGGGTGGAACCGAAAGTCTGAGGCTTAAACCAGCTTGATAGGAACCTTCGAGCACAGCACTTCTAATGGTTCAAGGATGTCGCGCTTTCCCAGCTTCTGCTCTCCTGCTCTTCTTTTGGACAAGAGAAGTGAACTAGCATTTATTGAGCACTCATCAGCATTCATTCGCCCCCAACTGGGTCCATCGGTCAGGTCGCTCCCATAGGGGTCCAATAAATATTTTTGGAATTACTATCACTTTTAAGTCTCAAAATGTCAGGCACTGTGTTAAAATGCTTTATGTCCATTGCACAGTTGGTGTTGTCCCCATTCTACAGGTGAGGACACCGAGACTGGAGATTAATCACTCGCTGGAGCTCGGAAGCTGCAGGTCCTGATGGTACCCAGCTTGGGCTGCCTTCAAAACTCCCACTTGGTCTTGCTGTCTCCACACTCACCCCAGCAGGCCAGTCTGCCCCACTCATTCCACCCCCTAGCGGGGCACTGCGTGGGAGTTCACCCAGAGATCTTCCCTTTCTCCTCCACATCAGGAAGCCCATACAGGAAGTGTTGATGGGAGCTGTGGGCCAGAAGGGTGACTCCATGGGCAATGAAACAGGTCCAGACCTGAGGGAGGGGAGGCAGTGAGGCCCAGGGAGAGCAAGACCTCCCAGAAACCCCGAGCATTCCCTTCCCCCAATGCTCTCCATGAGCATTCCCTTCCCCCAATGCTCTCCATCCGTTGCCTCCTTTCCTTGCCTCCCCCACCCTCTAGGCACTCTCTGGCCCTACAGTACCAGATAGGTGGTGAGGCCCAGGTAGACTATAGCCAGAAGGGCTACGAGGATGAAGTAGGCAGGGTGTGGGAGGCTGGGCAGGTAGATGACCACGAAGTAGAGGTTGATGGTGCAGACCAGGGCCATGATGAAGGATGTGATGGCCTTGCTCAGCCTGGGAGACAAGGAGGGAGGCTCAGGTCTGCACCTCCCCCTTCTCCCCACTGCCCCGAGCTCCCCCCCAAAGAGTGAGGGGATACACAAAGCCACTTTTTCTGCGCTGTGGGACCTGGAGCACACCCCTTGCTCCCTTCTGCCCCCCCCCCTCCGGCCCTCCATGCCCCACACTGGCAGGATTTGGCAAGAGCAGAATTTGAGATGAGACAGTGAGGAGCTCAGGCTCTAGATCCCAGTCCTAGTTCCCCACACTTGATA